ACGAAGTTTCATTTTGTGAATTAAAGAAGTATAAGGATGTCTAGAATAATTAAGTATCCCGAATGTTACTTTCACTAACGTTATTTTAAGTTGTGCTAATCTTTCGATAAGCCTATTTGATGTTGAAGTAGACAGATCCTAGATTTGAAAACTCCAGAGCACTTTTAAGCCTAAAATTAATTCATAGTAACTCCTAACGTGAGAACAATTTGTATGAATCTATTTTATTTACAGCTGAAAGTCTGAGATGAAAGCAGATTTTCACTTCAGGTTCTAGAAGACGGCATTTTAAAGTGACGGATGTTTGAAATGAAATTTGCGCATGCCTGGTGTCGTGAATGTGGAAAATTAAAGATGATATTTCAAAATTAAGAAACTGCATGGCGAAATTCCAATAAAATTTTACTATTCAGTAAAATTTGTGGTAATAAAGTAGTGATCGTCGTAGAGTTTTGTTGCACTACCGCATGAAAAAGACAACTAAAAATGATGGTCGAACTCTCTGATGTGTTTAGAACATGGTTGTCTAAAGTGCGACTCACATATATTTAAAATGCGGACCAAACGCAAATTATGAAAGTATTAAAATTTACACATTTTTATTGAAGAAATAAATGTTTGAATTTGATTCATATATAATCGATTCGTTGGCATTTATTTTAAAATAAAAATTTAAATAAAAAAAAAAACATCTTAGTATGTCATGAAGTATTAAAAACCCTCCGCATACGGCTCCCGCGATTTCCACGGGATGCAAAATCCGTCTCGTAATACGGGTCATGTGAAAATAGCGTGCGTAAGTTTATTTCTCCAATTTTCAATGTGGATCCCCTTTTTCTCCGTGTAGGCTAAGAATATTAATGTTCGTATTTCACGTCTCGTTTTGCACCTAGATGGCGCTACAGGTTTATATTATTGTAAAGGAGTAGTACTATTGCTTCTTTCATTCTTGGCGGAAACTGTGTCATTTACGCGACCAGAGTTTCAGGTTTATAAGTAATAATAATAAGTAAGTGCAAGTAATATACAAATTAGCTATACAAATTAGTTAGCATGTAGTTCAATTTTTACTCTTGCAACTCACAAAAGTTCGCAACTTGTAAAATATTTCGTACTATTCGGTTTCGAGGGCCGTAAAAAATCGCCAAACTATTGTTGATGCCAATGCTGCCAAAAATAATTGCGGCCACCCTAATAATTGCGCCAAGAAAGGAAGTATAATAGTAAATAACTATCTAAGATTGATGTTTTAATTTAGATGAAAGGTTAATTTCATATAATACTTTTTTATTATTATAATTTATATGAAAAAGGCTAAACATGACTGAACGGAAGCATTAGAGTAAATAACTATTTCAGATCATTATTATAATTTATATAAAAATTGCTAAACGTAACTGAATGGATGCCTGCATTGCTATTTCGCTACCGACTTATCGCTAAAGCATAATTTCATCTCGTTGGTTGTTCAAAGGTAATTTTCTATAATGAATGATGCCTCTTCTTTGAAAATATTCAGAATCTGAAGTGCAGAATCGCTCACTTATTTGTTTGACGCTTTTTACAAGGGTAAAAACAATTGGATTTTTGTCAATTTTGTTTTACTTTTTAAATGAAAATAGGTCGATGTGTACATAGATAAAGTCAAGGGGGTGCGCAGCGCCATTTTTGTGCAATTCTGGGAATTTTTGTTTTAAGTGAAAATAGGTCGATGTGCACATGGATACCGAGTATGTGCAATTCTTAAAAACGCGTCAAGCAGTGAGTGATTCTGCACTTTACCCAAAATTCTATTCCCGACTTTTCATCATGGGCAATTCCCAAATTGTTAAATCCATAGGATATCAAAAAAGGATTTAAAATCAAAAAAGGATTTAAAAATTAAACTAGTATTTCAATGGCGTCTTAAGAAATATAGAACTATATAAACTTGCGCAATCTGAAACCAGCGCGTACGCTAGATTTGGCGCGCTGTTAAATGGGCGCGTTTGCTAGATTTGGCGCTTTTGCGCATACATTTTCGCTGCAATTTTTTTACGGCCCTCAAAACAGAAGAGTACCAAATATTTAAATACATCCTAAAACCGTTTCATGTGGTATGTTTTACCACACATGAAAATTTACGTTTTAAATTATATGTGTATCTACTCGATTTTATATTTCCAGAAATAATTGCCCGTTAATTGTCAATATCTTTTTGCTGTCGTTAAACTTTTAATAATTTTAAAACATGTATACAAATTTTCGACGAATTACAACATTTGTATGCAGTATATTGCATTGCATTTTAAGTTCCTAATTCTTGTGTCAAATTCTTAAAAAATATGAATAATTCATATTCATCATCGATATTTGCTTATAAAATTAAACTATGTAATTTTTTTAGATCTCCGCCATGCCATTAAAAAAACAAGCAGAACAGGAAAAAAAAAAAAAAAAAAAAAAAAGAAAAAGAAAAAAAAAGAAAAAGTAAAGCCGAAAATAAAAAAAAAAAGAGTTTTAAAATGAAAACTGGGCGGATAAATATGTTTTTATTGAGGAGAATAGTAAAGTACTTTGCTTAATTTGTAGGGTCTTTGCACCAGTTTTTAAAGACTACAATTTGAAATGACATTATAATCAAAAGCATACCGAAAAATATGATGTATATCTCGGCATTTGTTGTAAAAATAAAATAACAGAACTAAAAAACGGGCTATCGTCTGAATAAATTTCAGACCCTGATGTAAAAAAGACAGTTACTCAAAATAATAACACTGCAAAAGCAAGTTATGTCGTAGCAAGTTTAATAGCGAAAAAGTCAAAACCCTTTATTGAGTATGGAAAGCGTCCGTATGCGTTTTTTTCAGGGCAAACATAATTTGCCCTAAAAAAAGTTGGATTTTTCTAAAATCAGTATATCACACTGATAGCCACAAGAATTGAAGAGTTGGAGAATTCAGTTGAAAAGGCTTTAAAAAGCAATTGCATCAATTTTAAATTTTATTCATTAGCCATGGACGAAAGCATTGACGCTTCTGATACGGCTCAATCTTTATCAGAGGAATCAGTGAAACATTATAACATCCGGAAGAAATGGTTGCTTTAATATCGTTAAAAAGGCTCAACTAAGTCTAGATTTATTCGATGCATTAAAAACGACGAAGAAATGGTTTTCCTTATCTATGAAAAATTTATCCGCTATCACAACCGATGAAGCCCCTGCCGTGGTTGGTAAAAATGGGGAACTCGTTAAAATGGTTAATAATGAAGCCATCGCTTCCGGCAATATGATCTTAATGGCATATCATTGTATTGTACATCAGGGCAATTCATGTGACAAATTTTATAAATGGAAAGTGTATTAAGCGTTTGTTGTAAAAACCATTAACTTTATAAGAGCAAAAGGACTTAATCATCGACAATTTCAAGATTTTCTTAAGGTAATGGGCACTAAATTTGCAGATGTTATTTATTATACAGAAGTGAAATGGCTCAGTGAGGGGAAAATGGTCAAAAGATTTTACGATTTAAGAACTGAAATGAAAATATTTATGGAAACAAAAGGGAAACCTGTGACTGAATTTGAAGATGAAGATTGGGTTTTAGATTTAGCTCTTTTAGTAGACTTAACAGAAAATATGAATGATTTAAATTTGAGACTTCAAGGAAAAAATCAACTTATTAATAATATGTTCCAAACAATAACAGCGTTTGTAAGAAAATTTAAATTTTGTCACAATCAAATAAAAGTAACGATTTGACACATTTCAGTACATCACATAAACCCGTGAGTTGCACAAAATGCGTAAAATATGCTTCATTAATTTTTGATTTAATTCAAGAGTTTGAAAGTAGATTTCAAGATTTTCAAAAAAATGAACAGGAGTATTTCAACATATTTTCTACCCCCATTTTCTCTGGAAATAAGTAATTACCTTCAAACCTTCAAATGGAATGCATTGAACTGCAAAGTGACATTCAACTAAAAGAAAAATTTTAAAATGTTTCTTTACTGGAGTTTTATAAAGATTATCTACCCCGAAATAAATATCCTAATTTTCACAATCATACTTTATTAATGTCTTCAGCTTTTGGCAGCACCTATATTTGTGAACAATTATTTTCAAGAATGAAGCATACAAAAAACAAAAAATAGGACAAAGATCACTGACAAACATTTTGAAAATGCATTAAGAATTGCAACCTCATCTATTGAACCCGATATCAATTTGCTTATTCAGTAAAAGCAAATTCGTCCATCTCATTAATTTGAATTTTTTCCATTTTTATAAAATCCAAACTAAATGAAAGGAAACTTTTACAAATTAATAATAAATACTATATACCTATTCATATATAATTCAAATTTAAAAAAAAAGTTATTTTATTTTAATAAAACAACATAGAGCTAATTTTAATTTCAATTTGTTAAAAAATATTGTATGTGTGGCCTCGCAAATTTTTTATTCTTTTCAATACGGCTCTCAAATGGTCATAGTTTAGACACCCGTGTGTTAGAATCTACTAATCCCGTCTGTGTTGGGATGACAAAAAATGTTACGATCTTAAATAAAGAAGGATCATTACGACATTGAAGTGGCTGTTTCGAACAGAGAGACTGAAATTATTTATATTTGGAGGAAGCGATCCAGTAAAATGATCAAAAACAAAACTTGCTTAGCTCAATACATTGTGGAGAACTGTACTTATGAAGAATAATAAACGTCTGCATAAATTATGAAAATAACGGAAGAATGTATTATCAATGTATAAGCTAAATTTTATTTATATTAACGATGAAAAATGAAACTTTCGACCGATATTTCATATTTTAATTTCCTTTTTATAAAATGCTTTTAAAACTTGTAACGGCAAATTGTTTTTTGTGGTATTAAAATGTAATGAAATTTCGGACTGCAAATTGTTGTTACAATTATTAATATTGTTTCTTAAGTGATTCTATAGAATGCTTCAACGCGGTAAAAAATATTTGATATATCAAAGATACCAAATTCGAAATTATTAAAATATAGACATTTTTTATTTAAAAACAATAGACAAATTTATACATTTCAAATAATGATGCATTTTAGAAAAGATAGCAAATTATATAGTTTCATATTCAACGTTGTTATATCTCAAGTCCATCGGGGAACATATGAAAAAATGTACTTTTTAAAAATTTCTCCACCAAAAATTCAAAATTTTAGAAACCATCTTTTTATTGCAGTATGAACTATTTTGGATGGAAAACTTCCATTCTTCTGCGTCGTGGGTCAACAGGCATGACAGACATCAGTAACTGGTCATACCGTCCATCACGAGAGTACAAAATTGGTTTGTTGAGGCATAACAAAGCAGCAGCTATACCGAGCATCACGCAACCAACCAAAACCATTGTCAGGCCAATTCCGAAGTTGACCGATGCTGCGCTCGGAATCGGTGTTCTCGGCACTGAAAAACCAAAGAGAGTTTTTTTTTTAAAAAGGAAAAAAAAAAAAAAAAAAAAAAAAAAATCTGAAAGCTTTCACATTTTATATTACGCCCAAAAGGGCGCTTTCTAACGTTTTATGTATTAATGTGTTAACATTATTTATTAAATATCATGTTCTTCGACCTTAAACCACATAAAATTCAATTCAACAGCAATATCACAAAATATTTAAAAACAGCAAAACAGCGTACCTTTAGAATTTCCTATATACAGTCTCGCGCGCTGGAGGTAATTTTTTTTTTTTTTTTTTTTTTTTCGTATAGTTTTGCCATTGCTCCTTTTGAAATCTTTGACTTTATTACTCAAATTTTGTTAAAGTTTTACAAAATTTGAAATAGTAATTAAAAATTAAAAATTCGGGCTTCCAACTTCCATGTCCGGTTGGAGGACTAAGTTATTCAAAATTTGATGGCTCTAGGCACCATAGTTTTTTCATTATGCGAGAAACATACATGCAGATTCTTCATTATTTAGTCTCTTTAAATATAATACATGGCGATAATATTGGGTGACAACAGTTTGAAAAGTGAATCATCGCAGAAAGTGAAACGAAGCAAAATGCCGTTTTGAGACTCAGAGCTGTTTGTTCTAACTCCCCTTTGGGTTAAAAATCAAATAATAATTAGCTGTAGAATTTGAGAATGTAAGGAGAACTTTCTGCTTCTATATAAATCGGCTGAGGAATGAGGCAAGAAGGAAGCGAATAGTTTCACGGAGATGAATGTTTTAAGAAGTTCACAGAAAGTGAATAGCTTATCAATGAAAAAAAAGTTAGAAACAGGATTGTTCAAAATAGGGCAAGCACGTAAAAATATGAAGAATTATATGGCTTATCACATGTGGGAACAATTTTTGCATTAAAAACTGCTTTAAATTGTTTGAAATGGAATCTTAAACAGTCTTAGTGGTGGTAATATATATTCCATCCTCATCCCTTATCAGAAATTACTTTAAATCTTCGAGAGAGAATCTTGGGAAAGAAGAACGGGATTTTACCCTGCTTTCCCAGAACAGAACACGATCATTCAATGATGCTTGAGTCTGGTGATTACGCAGTATAGGAAAGATGTGAACTTCATTTTCATGTTTTTAAAATTACGAAGGAGGAATCTGATTTTATTAACGAAAACGTTATGATCGTGAAAGATGCAGTTGTTAACCATGTACAGTTACCAGTGCCTGCGCCATTGAATGAACATGATCGTTTGAAACAGTTATATAGTCAACAATATTTATTCTTTCTTATAAGGAGATAACTTATTATGCTCTTCTTATTAATTTTTTATATCCTCTTGTTGCATATTGCGATATAACTGTTTCTCAAATTGGTTTAGTGGTTAACAATCATTGCTGCCATAGTGATGGGCCTGAGTGCGAATCTCGGAAAAGGCATGTATGTTTGTAAGGGACGTAAGTGTATACTGTCTATGTGGCATGAAGACACTTAAAATCCTGGCGAGCCGAAAGTCTTCTCAAGTGATTTGGTGATATGGGAAGAGGAGCAAGAGACCCTCGGACCGTACCCAAAGTCTCTCCATCAAAACTGGAGCAGTGCAGCAAAGTGGGTGCGATGGGACTTGCGAATTTAATCATTTGGCTTGTACAGCCCAATGATTAAATTCTATTGCCCATTCACTTGTACCTTCCACTTGTACCATCCACTTGAACTATAGTATGACATAACTGTCAAACGAATAACCGGACACCACTATGTTTAACCGCAGGAATCAGATAATCTAGATCCATTGCAATCTCTATTTTGATAAAACGTAATCTTTCACATTTTATGATCCTAGATCCATATTATGCGAATGATGTTCCTTTCGCAGTGTGCATTTCGAAACTGTGTCCTGAAAAAAGTTCGGCAGTCGCCATTTTTTTACAGCAGATTTTCTTTTTCATAACAGCCTTCTTTAATGACTTTCGTTTGCCTCTCACAATTATGTTTCGCGGGCAATGGTTTTCCGAGAATATTGTATGTTGAGATGGTTTTAATACAGTACCTTCAGATACCCACAATGATTTTACATTTGTCAGATACACCAATGATCTGAGTATCAGCATTCTGACCTCTGGATTTCAGTTTCCTTCATTACTTGCTAAGTTTAGTATTACTGCATTTTTCCGGAGTTCAGAGTTTGGGGTTACGAATCCAAGGGAGTTTTTAATCTATTGTTATACGAAGATATTTCATGATTTTCATATTTTTAATATCATGGCCATCAATTTTAAGAGGTGTATTTTTTGTGAATTTTCTCTCGGTTTTTGAATTATTAGCGCTTGAGATTTCAAAGGTTCGATTTTTGGTTCTATTTGTTCACATTATTTTTGAAGACATTTTAAGTGGTTCGTTACTATTGTTCTTTAGTGCCTGTTACTGTGTTTCCACTTATGACAAAAGCTACGTCATCTATATAGGCAAAACGTTTGGAATGAGGAGGCCAATTAAAAGTGACGTGTGACATTCTGTTGAATGTAATGTTCCACACGTCTGCACTCATGCAGGATCCATGTTAACATCCTCTGAATTGGTTTCTTGAGATTATTTCATTATTATTCAGAAAGATACTGTTACGGTAGTAGAGAAATTCTTCAGTAATCAAAAACATGTTTTCAGGGTAGTTGATATTCTTGAATGCCTAGAGTACCGTTGGCCATCTGAGAGAGTCAAAGGCATTGGTGAGGTGCAGACGCATGATTACTGAATGCAATTTATTTACTTTATTGCTGTTTACCTGTTTGATTAGTGAATCGATGGCGTTTCTTGACTCCAGAATCCGCATTGTATCTTGTGATTAGGTGTGACTGACTATCAACGTTCAGCGACTTTACCGGTCAGTCTCTGGTGGGACCGCCTGAAATGTGTGTCGAAGTGAAAAATGGTCATTTAGCTGAGTTCACGGTCATTTAGCTGCATTATGTTATCCTGTTTATATTGTTGGGCGATAATACGTAATTGTTTGATAGTGGGGTTTCAGTAAGCAAGTACTATGTTTCATAATTTGCGAAATATTCCCAGGTCATATATGGTTTTGAGAAATGACTATGAAGCTTGGATTCCACGCTACCACGTTTATCACAATATGGCTGCATATTTGGAAATGCTAGACATAATATATAAAAAATAGACCCAGTCCATCAGTTATAACTTAAAGACTTCCATTAAGCCGTCACTGGTGATCAATACTTTGTTTTAAATTCTAGCGGAAATGCTGAAGAGTTCTTAAGTCGATGTCAAGGAGATTGTAGAATTCTGGAACTCAGTTGACCATTTTTTTAAAAATAGCTATCGCATAGCATATTTAATTATAGCTGTTAGAAAATTTTATATGCTTATTACGGTAATTCTCAGTAAACGACCCATTTCTGAAATTTTAATCCTTAAAGGAATTTTTCACATTCTTATAATTATGGATATTTAACTAAATGTGAATAAAAAGTGATATAAATATTTAGGCCATTAATCAACATATAAATAATCGTTTAGATATAAAAACCTTTAGACCTCAAAGGCTAGCTATAAATGATTAATAAGTATTGAAAAAGGAATAAATTTAATATACAGTTTTTAACTCTAGAAACGTTACACATAAAACAAAGAATTATTTGTATTTATAATGGAATGCATAAATAACTTGCATTAACTTCTGAAAATTAAATTCTGAGTAATTCATTTTTATAATGCTAAAAGTTACTGAAGAAAATTATTCATGTTTAATCTAATTTACGTAAAATTTAATCCTTGAATGATGCAAATAAATCATTTTTAATAATTAAAATCAGGGTACTGAGAGTTATTCTGTATTTTAATAACCTATTTACTACGCACATCTTAGGAGCTCTTGGACTGATCTGTTGCACTAACGCTTTTTTCGTCACTTCTAAAGTAGCAAAATAACTAACTTTTAAATCACTGGACGTTCCTTCTTTACGAAGCTATACAGACGAAATGAAAATAGCAGTTGTTAGGAGTGAATTGACGAGAAATTCGAATATCGCTGAAATACCGTTGTAGAAAATATAATCGAAAAGTCTCAGATTTCAAATATAATGCGTTTAAAATAAAAATATGAACTGCCAGTTGATTTGCTTAGAAAGAAACCTCAAGTACTCCTTAAGATTCATTTTCCACACATAAATATGAACAAGTTATCTTAAAATAGAGGCTGAAGGAAGTGATGATCAACATATATGATACTTTCCAAGAATACATACATATTTCCCAAACGAAAACTTAAGCGTAAAAAGAAAGAAACGAAAGCCTAAGCGTAAAAATAAAATTAAGCACAAATAAGTTTTGCCGGTAAAATTATCTATTTGATTCCATGTGATCACTACTTTCAACACAGTATTGCTCAATAAGTGTGGAAGGTTAGGATAGTAGGCAAGGGCTACCCGGCACGGGAAGGCAGATTGTATCCCTCATAAAATTGCCTGTCTTTAATAAGTGCCTTTTAAGAATATTACCGACTGTCCTCTGCTGAAATCGGAAAGTCCGATTTTAAACTAATACCTTTAACAAATCTCATTTACAAAAGAGAGATCAGGTATAAATTGCATTCCTGGCCTTCAAAACATTAGCTTTAGCAGGTCCAAATTCACAAGTTTTTGCTTCAGTAAAATAGATATTAATAAATTTTGAACCAGTAAATACCATTTCTCAATCCTGATGTAGTGCTGATAGCCTAGAATCCAATCACTATTGTAATATAGGAACTGACAATCAACCCACAGAAAATCCACTGCTATAATATACAGAGGTGACAAATAAATCCAGAATTAAGCCGATGTAGCCCAACACTTTTGATATTTCAAAATTTAAATAACCATCTTAATTTACTATAAAGTAACTGGAATCGTTAATTGCTATAAAAAGTATAGGAGTAAAATTTACAAGAGTTTTGAAGGTGTAAAAAGAAGGGATTGCAATTAGCGGCAAGATACAAATAAGTGTCATCCTACAGTTGATGGTGCCATTCAAGTTTTGAGATTTCCCTGATTGGCATATCTATGTCAAAATGGTAGGTGCTTCTGATCTTTCCTGAAAGATTCAAAAGCAAAATTAAAGATTGGAAATGTCAATATATATCAAATCAATGAAAACTCCTTTTGTTCTAAGATAAAAATATGAGAATCCACAACCTTTAATCTGAAATTAGAAATAAAATGTTTTGTTTATAAAAATCTCGTAATCTGGCATTTTTTAAAGTTTATTTCTGACAAATTTCTTAAAATACATGCTTAAATTCTTACATAAATGTTAATAGTAAAATCATATTTATTAAAACCCTCAAATGAAACATATTCGAGAGTTTTATTGTTACCATTTCGTGGCATGGTAAAATACAAGGATTCCATAAATTGCGATGGAAACATATCAGTAATTATTTTATTACTATACAGTGGTGGCCAAAATTGTGGACACTTTTGGAAATTTTTATGTTTTTGAACTTTGTATGCTTATAGAAAATGTTACGTTTCGCAAAATGCAAACTTGTATATATCATTTTAAAGAGAATTTATTACTGAATTCAATACAAAACACTAAATGCAATTATTTGCAATACAAAAAAGTTATATGTACTTTAATCTAAATAAAAAAACACAGTTATGAAGTGGTTTGTATTGTCTAGCTTTCCTGGCAAATCACTGTTCTTGTTCTGAGAACCAAGCAAATGTTAGTAACTGCCAGTAGAAGCTGACATCATGTTTACACTTGAAACGATTCATTATTTTGCTTTGTTGTAGATGGAGGACCTGTTTCTTATACACTGCAATTAAAAGTGGGAATTTTTGTAAAAATTTTTAATATTTAGTCAAGAAGCAATGACATCAAATAAAAGAGTAGATTGGACACCTAGAAAGAGATGTAATATTATTGTGTTACGAGAAAGTGGTCTTTCCTATGCTGAAATTGCAAGTCAGGTGGATGGTTCAGTGACTACATTCGAAAGTTTTGTTTACGATATCAGGAGACAAATTCAATAAAAAACAAAGAAGGAAAACGCCGAAAAGGTGCACCACGTCTATTGATGACAGAAGAATAAAAATACTATGTCTCCAAGATAGAAAAATGTCATCAGCGGCCATCAGAAGTGATCTGAATGATGCTGGTGTTTATTTCAGTTCAAGAACAATCAGAAGAAGATTAACAGATGTTGGACTGAGAGGTAGAATTCCACGAAAAAAAGCATTATCTTAATTTTCAGCAACGAAAAAAAGACTACAGTGAGCAAAGGAACACATTAATTGGGCAGATGATCAGTGGTCACATGTTATATGGAGTGATGAAACTAAGATATCGTTATTCGGTAGTGATGGGTGAAAATATGTAAGACCTAGAATAGGAGAAGAGCTACATCCTGACTGCATTCAAGCAACTGTGAAGAACCCAGTTAGTGTTATGATTTGGTCATGCATGTAAGCAGATGGTATTGGTCGACTTCATGTCATCGATGGGACACTGAATGCCAGAAAATACTCGTACATTGACACTATTCTAGAACCAAAACTTCTACCTTTCAACAGAGATCTCTTTCCCAACAATGCTTCGTTTATTTTTCAGCAGGATCTGCTCCTGCTACACGGCCAAAATATCGAAAGAGTGGTTTCGTCCAAAGAGCATTAAATTGTTGTCATGGCCAGTCCTGACCTCAATCCTATCGAAAATTTGTGGCACCGTTTGAAAACTCTTGTCCGAATGAGGGGCCCATCAAATAAAAGGGAACTAATTGAAGCTATAATTAGTTCCTGGCATCATGTAATAACGAAAAGAAGAGCTTAAAACTCTTATCAAATGCACACGTCGATGAGTGTAATCAAACTAAAAGGGTACCCCACTAAGTACTGATAACTCCTGCAATCATCACTATAATGTATACGATAATATTATGGTTAACTTTTTTTGTATTGCAAATAATGCATTTGTGTTTGTATTGAATTCAGTAATAAATTCTCTTTAAAATGATATATACAAGTTTGCATTTTGCGAAACGTAAAATTTTCTATAAGCATACAAAGTTCAAAAACATAAAAATTTCCAAAGTCCACAATTTTGGCCACCACTGTACTTATTTTCACTTACAATCCTTTATTATATTCGCCTTCCATGTCTACCACCTTTTGCCAAATTATTAGAAAGCATTGCTCACAATCAGCGTGTTTACTTCTGTTGATGGCCCACAGCGACAACCCTATATTTCATCCTCTTCATTACTATTGTAAAGGATAGGAACATGTCTTTCTTCAAACTACAGAACTAGAATTCCATTATTGCCAGTGGTTTTTTTCATTTTGGCTAAGAAATCATATTCACATGAGCTCATATTCAGTCGGCATGATGGATATTCCAGTATTTTTCATAACCATTGTCATCCATATTTAAAAAGATTAGATTTTCAAGGCTCCGACCTGTGGCGCTGATGCATTACCTTTAGTATTGCACGATACTCAGTAAAGATGCGCTTTTTTATCCAGGGAGAAAGAGATGCATATAAACTTCTCAACAAAAAATTTGATTTTAGGAAAATTTAATTTGAAAATGGCACAGAAAATTTCATCTGAAATCATGGCTGTTATCAATTCAAATCGCATGCCCATAGGAATTAGGTTTTGATTGTTTTTCGTGTTTAGTGATCATTTTCTTTTGTCTATGTGTTTTTTCTTGGACTAGCCTGTTTATGGTAACTGAAGACAAAACCCCAGTAAAACAACTCACATTTTACAAACCTATGGGAGCTAGAAAGCGAGCAAGGCCACCAATAAGGTGGCTTGATGTTGTTCAGGATGACATTAATACTATACATAGGGAAGACTGGAGGAGTATTGCTATGAATAGGTCCAGATGGGCGTAGACTGACTGAGACATAGCCAGCAGTACGCTGTTGTTCCTCAGAAGAAGAAGACGGCTTTTTCTCGGTTAGGTGGGCCAGGCTATGCGGTATTATTACATTATCATCGTCGTAGGAGATCTGTGACAAGGTTTGCATGATGATACCGCACGCTATAATGGAAGATGACGAATATCACAGATTTTGGACACACAGGATTTCTTACGTACCAGATCTTATCATCTTTCATAATAGTGTTCAGTGTCATAATACGAGGACTGTTACCGATTTCCTGCGATGGTGACGGCTGGACACACTGAAATTTAAACCGTACATAACCACCATTATGAGTCTGTATGGACAATGATGTCATCACCGAAATGGAGAATCCATTACTACATTGCAGTAGATTCGTCACAGTAAAATCTATGCATTAGGATGGTCACTGTGAAAGTATCAATAAAAGATAGTTTACTGATGGTGCACTATGTCTTCCAATAATTTGGCAGAAGTTATGGCCATGGCTGGTGGTTATATTGAGGGAATGTAAACATTTGTACGTATGGTAATTAAACAACTTTTCAGTCTATTGACGTGTTTCTACTCTTTTCAGTCTATTGACGTGTTTCTACTATCAACTGTATTTACCATTTGAAGGAAATAGTTGGTGCAAGCCTCATGCATACGTGATTCTCCGAAATAAATCATAGCTACTCTATAAATAATCGCCTTTTTTTAAATAATTGCACTACTATCAGCTTGGCTTTAATTAAGAAAAAAGTAATATAAAAGTAAAATTTATAATTCCATTTTGAAAAAATAATTTTAACTGTAAAATTTTATGCTTATATCTTCAATTTCTGGAAGGCTGATTCTTATCATCAGATCAGTGGGAATTTAAGAATAGTTTTCCTCCTAAAGAAGGCAGACCCGTGTCTGAATGTCTTTGAAATTGACAGAATTTTATTTAAACATGCCATAGCTAAAATAGCGTGGATGTTTTGAGTTATATTAAGTTTTATATTGCGGTGTTTCTTTTACAGTTTTATGTTCAAACTGGATTGCTTAAAATCATTTTAGGTGCTAAAATAAATTGAGTGCACAAATGAAATTGCAATTCCTTTTTTATCTCGTGACTTTTATTTTTAAAATATTTTTTTAATATTTTCTTTAACTTTTTGAAACCTTAATGTTAATTTTCAGAAGTATTAGACTGTATTCTGGAATTTCAGATTGTAATCCCTTCTCCACAATATTGTGCTCATCATAACAATTTCTAGATCTCAATAATATTAGGGCAGTAAAAAAGGGCTTGTTATATAGCTAGGCTTGTTATATATGTCATATTTTATTACACATAATTTTTGAACAGGAAAAAAAAAAAAAAAAAAAAAAAAAAAAAAAAAAAAAAAAACACTCGATAAGTGAATAATTATAAAATTTAAAACCTGTAATTTTGTGAACCTTTATCAGGAGTTACGTGCAACTTAGCGCATGAATACAATCTAACTAAGTTTAAGATCCACTAATAGTACTCTCTTTTAAATAGCTAGAACTGTATTGTAAATGTCAGAAAAATTTTTAAGAAACAATTTTAGTTGACATTAAAAGCTAATATGATAAAAATATTTATAAATGTTTTATTAAAATTTATTAAGACATAGTACTTACCCATTTTCAACGGTTCCTTCGGTATTCAATGCGACAACATGTTTATCTCAATCGAAAAAACAAATTTCATAGAAATCCGGAGCGTTAACTCAACCGCAGTGATTCAGACGCGCATCATTTCGCCTGGAGCGCATGCGCACGCGAAAACTTCTTGCATTTTAATAAACGTAAAAGTATATCCCATTGCGTGACCTGGGATGTTATGAGATGAGCGTCAATCAATAACGTTCTGATGCGTAGAATTCCCAACAATTTGCTCTACACTCTCGTGATTAAACGATTTTTCTGTTCTTTTCTTCACACTGCGTTCAATGAAATTTTTTGCTTTTTCTTTTTCAAAATATTGCAGTACTAGGAGAGCTACATAGATAATTATTGTGACATTACTGAAAATGAAGTTTCTGGGTAGCCATATAGATGTTCTGTGAAGCACTTCCATTTCCGAATAATTATATCTTTTAATATTGATTTTCTAACTGAATGCTTTTATAAATGACCCTCAAAATAGGAAGGAATTTAGATTGTGTATTTATCATGTATTCATGTATTTACGTGAAAAATGCAGAAAATTAGGTTGCCTTTTCTTCTTGCACACCAAATACGTATTTACTATCTGATGCAAATCATTGGATATCTGTATATATTTTGTTTTGTTCATTGGACTTTATTCAACAAAAATAATGCTGCAAAAATTAAATATTTTTATTTTAACTAAAGAGAACAAACACTGGAGACTACAATTTGGGCAAGTTCTATTTTTAGGTGCTTACGTTTTATGAAGAGTTTATGAATAAAAGATTACAAAATTATACATGTAAGTGACGATTTTAGTCATTATTTTTATGGTAAAGGCTTACGCAGATATGTGCGTGAATTTGTGTGTGCAAAATAAAAATAAAAATAGGAAAAGCAAGATTCTAATTTTAACTGGCAATGGCCTCTCTTCATTTTAACTGGCAATTTTAACTGGCAATGGCCTCTCTTCATTTTAATTTAAGCATTTCTCTTTTCTGTCCTAAAGTTAGTCGGTAACTCGGGCGGTAACTGAAATAACAAGAACTAAACTAAAAAGTCGAAGATATTGTTAGGATTTTTTTTTTTTTTCTGACACCACGTTTCGTAAGGGGTTCGTAGATTTGGAGTGAATAATGAGAACATTCTGGGCTAAACCGGTAAGAAGTCTTCCCAGAAGGTTCTCCATCCGTCCATGCCATATCGCCAATTTTGTCGCCAAATGGGCGATTTATAGCCAAATATGGCAGCCCTGCCTTTCCTTGCCATGTTATGGCAACCCTAAACATGCTTTGCGGGGAAGCCATCTTACCGCGCCTGGACATTTCCTAACAATATTAGCAAGTAGGCAGGGCTCAGAAAACTCCTGTTACTTAAAACCGCGTCGAAAACTAGTGGCAGCAAAGTAAAAGCTGTTGTGCCACGTAAACCAGCAATAACTGAAGAACTAGACGCTCACGGACCCGAGGTGACGGCGAATGCCCAAACTCTCTCATTTTCCTTTTAGAACTCAGTATTTAAACTTTTTCTCCTCAAGGTAGAATTTGCATTATACTTCACGCTCGCTATCAAATTTAAATATTCTGGCATTGAAAGTTGAATGAAGGCTTATACGAAAGAACGTAAAATTAAATTAAATTGGTTATTTAAAATAAATATAAATCCTTACATAGTAACTAAACATAATATATCAAGTTTTTGATTGAAGTTTTTGATTAAGTTTTTGATTGAAAGTTTTTGATTGAAGTTTTTGATTGAAGTTTTTAATTGAAGTTTTTGATTCAGTAGAATTTTTGCATGCTACAGAAGAAATATTTATGTATATTCATCTATAATTCAGTTAGAAGAGCTCTCATCAGAGTTCAGGTGGAGAAGGCTCTAAGAAATATTTTTTGATATTACCAAAGGATGGCGTAACAAGTCCGTTTGCTGGATTTATTAACTCGACCTGTTTGCACGTTTTCAGAATGTAAAAAAGATGAGTAGATCGATTTTCTTGGTTTAGATTTTCGAAATATACTACACAGTATACTAGAAGTGTTTGATGGGACTATTAAGTTCCCATATTTTAAATTTTATAATTGAATTTATGCCTATAGCCTATCCTATGTGTATATGTAAAATGTTTTTTAGGTTTTACTTAAAGGGAACATAAAACCCTATGCTATATATCTGATTCACTTGACCCTCGTTGTTTCGTTTTGATCATTTTGAACAGGACGAATTAAAGTTATTCTTACAGATCTGTATAAGCATCTCTCCATAAAAATATGAAAAAATGTCTGTACAGATAGGTAAAAAAAATTTAGCTTGATATACTTCAAAAGGAAATAGAGAAAATTTTAATATATTTTATTTTTCAGAATAGTTTCCTTATACTTCTGTATAACTTTTTTACACCTTTTAATGAGCAACTCCTGGTTTCCGAAAATGCAAAGTCACTGTTTGTCCTTAAAATATTTCATAACTGATGTTTTTGGATAATCCTCATCCTTAAGCCTTTTCCCCGAAGGACAGATTCTAATTTGCAGAACAAATAATAATGACTTGGATTTGAACAAATAATAATGACATTTGGGATGAGTTATAAAGTGCTTGTTCAAGCTTCGTTATGATCTTTAACAACGACAGCTGAATGGATATGAGCATTATCGTGGAAAATAGATTAACTTGATAGATACGGCATATTACGCCTCTTCCATTTAATTTTATTGCGCAGTTAGCACAAAAGACCTTGCTTAATTTTCTTATTAAGAAATGTATTTATTTCTTTAGCTTCTACCAAGAGGATTCTTTGACAGTCCCCAAAACTAGTAGCCATTATCTTTTCGTTGATTGCTTCATATTTGCTTCTGTTGGTGGTGCTTCACCGGTTTTCTTCAATCCATAGATTCTTTTTCTGTAGAGGATCGCAATATATTCTTCAACAGTTACAACTGTAAATTATTTCTGTAATTCACACTGTAAAGCTGCAGCAGCTGCTCATAACAAATGCCCCGCTATTGAAAAAATCGTTGTATCTGTCTTACAGAAATTTGTTCATGCGAAAGTGTTCATGTAAAATGAAAAGAGTTGTTTTAGATAGATTTAATCTTACTGATTTCTGCTTGTTATTTCTGTTAGTCTTAAAATGCCATGTATTCGAAATCATATTACATATTTGAAACGTTTTACCTCAAGATCATTGCAAAGTCCCAGCTTATATTTTTCTAAAAGTGTGCATAATGCACTTAATTGATAATTTTATCTGGTCACTCAATTATAGCTGAAAATTTAAATTCCTTTAAAAATTTTTGTTTTTCTAACAGCCGCCACTGACAAAAGTTTAAATAGTTATATTTTGTAAAAGATATTGTCTATTATTAAAGATTTCTAGTTCGTTTAAAAAAAGGTTTTATTTCCGTTTCGCAGACTACAGAGAAATATTTCCCAGATTACATTTGTAAACCCTATCTCTTTTAATCTTCATTATTGCTTCCAAGTGAAGATTCATAAAGGTCCTTAAATCCATCAAGATCAACTGCATCAGTTTCTGAAAAATAGTTTAAAATCTCATTTTGAATATAAAACATGAAAAAAGAAGAAATATTATAAATTTATGAAATTTATTATAAATAAAATATACATAATTCAGCTTTAGAATGATTTCAAATTAGTACTTGTGTGTACGTGTAATACGCAGTTTCTAGTACATCATTCAGAATATTAAATACCGGTTAAATAGAAAGAATTACTATTATCTTTTCACGCGATGACTCGATATTTATAGTATAACTAGAAAGCCCGGCGGTCATACGAAATGACCACTGTTCTAGATATTATAAATTGTAATTAAAATGATTTGTGCAAAGGTGTCTGTAATTCAAACTGAATTATCCAGGGCAGGCGGCGAGGACGCCTCTTTGCTTACTGCCCCACGGGGTTTCCCCCTTCTGTTTGCTTAATTGCTTAAAGTAGAGTGCAATGAAGGAAACCACTGGCAGTACATTTCTTAAGAGCCACCACTAGCTCAATAAATAAAGGTGATTTAAATAATAAAATGTTAATTCACATGTCAAAGATCTCTTAGTACACATTTCTTGTGTAGATCTTTCCATCATTTTTAAGCTCGCCTTACGGAGGACCATCAATTATTTTTAATTTTACGTCCGTTCTCTCTCACAAACTCTTGAACAGGCAACATAAAGTTGACCGCATCCAAATGCAGGCTCAGATAAAAAAAATGCCAACACGCTTAAGTGTTTGCCCCTGAGACTTATTGATGGTCATAGCAAAGGCAAGTTTTACAGGAAATTGTCCACGTCTCAATAGAAACGGCAACCCTGGGCCGTGGCAACTTCACCCCATTGGCTAGTACAGTTGAAATTCGAGACGCGTATCCTCGCATTATAAAAAATTTTCCGAATCCATCGATACCGTTCTAATCTTCGTACAACTTTAACCGGTTGAGATATTAATTAAAAACTGCGGAAACGTTAATTTTTGCGCTCATTTTTCCGAGTGGCAACAATAAACTATCGGCAACACACACTTTAGCCGCTTATATATATAAAGATGTTCACAACATATCTGAAAATATCTCATTAACAGTTTTACAGTATGGTACTTAATAGCACCATAGTATTAAACAGGTTTCGTGTACCAGACTTTCTAGCACATGACTGAGCTGACTGTATCTATAAAAATTCCGTTTTTGATACAAACAGGAGAGAAAGCAGATCAGTCACCTCTGTTTGCTATTCCCTAGCACTTATGAAATGTATCTTATCAAAATGAGTTTATTTTAAATTTAGGTAGAGTACACGAGGGCTATCCGCCTGAACTGACTCTCAGTTATGATCTAAGCACTCCTGGAAGATGCAATCCTAGAGTTGGGCAAGTTCTGTTTCCGTGCCTCCAAAATTCCCTGAGGATTTTTGTCTTAATACTTCCCATGACACGCATATGCTATCATTACAGACGTGCATACCTCACCTATAGAATAAAATCAGGAACCAACAGCCAGGGATTGTGCCAGAGCGTGTGCAATCGGTGCAGCCGCAGCTGGCGGCAGAATTTGGGACCGGCAATTTTTTTTAATTTTGGAAGGAACTGGGTGTCAGATTTTCAAGTTGCACCGGGCGACAAAACATCTAGCACCGGCTCTGCCAACAGCATAGCAACAGCTAGAACTAGCAACCATACATTCCAGACTGATATCACTTTATGAAATCGTAGCTCTACGGGGATCGATTTGGTCAGTTTTGACAATTACCTCCGGATATTTTTCTTCAACCTTTAAAGGACAATCTTTAAAAAGATATTTAATATACTAGATGAAAGTGTACTTTGAGTAGCCACTCCTCGTCGAGGAAAATTATCTACTCGATGCCTTTGCGCCTTGAAGAGCTCTTAACAGAAACAGAGAAACAAAGAAACCTGAAACAAAAGTATGACTTTACAAATGCAACTCTAATATGAACAGTAGCGTAAATTCTTATGCCAATGCTGACAAAAATGTTAAAAATACCACCAATAACTCTGTTTAACAGCCATTTGAACCCATCTTAAGTACCATTGTTGATGTTGTAAAGTTTTTTTAAAGAGTTAGCTAACTTGTTTAAAGGCTTTTCTATTAGAAATGTTCTAAAAAATATAACTGAAAAAATGCCAGGTTTATAGTCAACTGATAGTTCTACTGACAAGCTATTTATCATTTTCTCAGTCTTCGAAGATATATTTATTACTGGTGACAATGTTAAGTAATGTAAAGTAATATTTAACTCTGAATCCTCGTTTGTTTATAAAAAATCTTATTGTTTTATTACTGTGTATTCTTAATAACTATTAGTAATTTTGTTTTGTATGCTTTTAATTTCACCTTTAACTTCGCACTCACTCTTCCTTCAGACTTTTGGTCGCTAGTTCGAACTGCCCATGCAGTATTTTCGGAGCATTTTTGAGGTGTTTATTTTTGTGGCGTCAAGTGATTCACTATTAGACATTACATATTATTTCTAGAATTTCATTTACTACTAATACCCTACTGTTCGCAAGTAGTATTATATAAATATTTTAGAAAAATATTAAGTATAAATTTATATATCTTCCATTATGTCACTGTATATATTTTTTTTTTTTTATCTCAAATATTCTTGTCGTCTGTAGTTCGAAATGTAGCATGTTCTACAAGGCTAAGGTCCTCGAACCTAGGTACCCTGGTGTAATATTCTAGATTGAAACGCTATAGCATACTAGTGTATATTATGTAATGAATATTTACGCTATAGCATTACTAGTGTATATTATGTAATGAATATGATAAATTCCACATACAAATATTACAAATTAACTGGAACTGGAACAGATGTAGATACGCAAGTGATTAATAATATATTTAACAATTCAAATCTATTGTAATTAATTTAAATTATTATCATTATTGTTCGAAGACAGCAGCATAATGCTCCCCGGTTTTTGTTTAAATTTGTCTGTAGTTATAGGATACGATTTTTATCATAATGTATACATCAGAAATGTCAATAAAAATGTACTTAAAACTGCATGCATAATTGCACTTTTGGCTCTGCTAGTAATTAATTTTTAACACGTATTTATGGCAGATTTAATTAATTTAAATTATTATCATTATTGTTCGAAGACAGCAGCATAATGCTCCCCGGTTTTTGTTTAAATTTGTCTGTAGTTATAGGATACGATTTTTATCATAATGTATACATCAGAAATGTCAATAAAAATGTACTTAAAACTGCATGCATAATTGGCTCTGCTAGTAATTAATTTTTAACACGTATTTATGGCAGACATGTAGAATTTTTAACATTGAACATACAATAATTAAAAAGATTAAAAAATCTTCCACCTTTATATTTGCTCAGAATCTAATAGAAATCTGCTGAAGCATTAAAATAATTTACAGAACTTTTTCACCCTTTGAAAAGAACATTTCTTTCACAAGAATGCGACAGAGCAAATGAAAACAGGAAAAAATTTATATTTCAAGTACCAGTTTCAGAAAGAATTTTTTTCAAATTATAGAAATAGGAAAACCATGAAGGTAATTTGTGACTTGAATGATTTGGCATTAAAATACAATCTTACAAAACCGCAAGGAACATGTCGAATAAAATCTTCATTGTTAAATGAATGTTGATATACAATATTCAGAACCCTGCTACTAATAAGAGTGATAGTAATAATAATAATAATTCAAAATGTTTCAAAATCATGATTGTTGAATTAATTGTATTGTCATTTATAAAAGATTGGGAATCCATAGCGTGAAGAAACCGCAAAATAGAAATCTGAAGATATAATTTCGTTCAATACATAAGTTAAAAAATTTAATTCCTAGCTTAAAAAATAGAAAAAGAAAAGTTTCTTATTTATAATACAAGAAAAATCCTGTAGAAAAAAACTTTTTATTTTGCAGAGTGTTTTTCGCAGATAAAGAAATATTTTCCAGTTTTATTCTTTTATTTGCAGAAAACGGAGCGTAAATTCTTAATCTAAATTCTAACCATAGGTTAACTCTAAGTTTGGAAAAGTTCCATCAAAGTAGATTTCAGGAGACAAAAATATACGCAAACAAACTAAAAGATACCATTTTGCTGAAAAACAAATTACGTATTTCATGATAACACAGGGCCCCTCCAGCGGCCAAGCGGTATCTGAACACTGGTAGTTTGGACAGGGAGGTCGAATTCCGGGAAAAGGGCTGGCTGCATGGCCATTTTTGTGGTTTTTCCTTATGTAACATGTATATGAGCCAGTTCGTCTTAGAAAGTCCTCCTCGAAGGCATTCCTCTCTTTAGGGAGAGAGCCCTCATGTGCTTTGTGCGATCAAATAAACCAAACTAAACCATAATAACACATTTCAAGGAACAAATTGCTTTAAAATACTTAATTAAATGATTTGAACTAAATTAACTAATAAATATAATAAAATTGAATAAATTAATAATATGTAAGCTAATATCTTACTGCAGTATGGGCAAATATCATCTGTTTCCACATAGTACTTTTTAAATTTCTTTCTACGTCTTAAAGCTTGTTCAGGCGAAAATGCTTCAAAATCAAAACCCATAATAGCGCATTTCTGCCCGCTTCTCCCACAGCTCTTACACTTTCCATTCACAAAATCCTCATAGTTATTACACTGTACTCCTACGAACTGGCAGTGCTCTGGGTTAATAGAAACTTTATAGTATTCCAAGCATCGGATGTGAAAGCATACTGTTGGAATTAATAGGGATCCAAGTCCTGAAAAATATAAAATTAAGTTAGCAATTAAAGTATTAAAGAAAACAGCAATTTAAATGCTAGTAATCGTCCATGAGTTTCGTTCGGAATCTAATAATACTAGTTTAATGTATCAGAAAGTGAAAAGTGGTTTGCTAGCTATCTCATTTCATTTAACTAAAAGTTTAAGAGTTAATTTTCAAACTTTCTTTTTGCGTCATTTAATCTGTAGAGAGAAAAAGAAGAAACTGAACTATACGATTTGCCGTCGAGACGTCTGCTGTTGCTACAGTCGCCTTGCCATCAGAAACCGTTGTTAGATTAGGAATGATTGCTAGTTATTAGGCAGAGGTCAGTAACTATGACTTTAATTAAGAGTCAGCTTGTCCATTTCAAGTGTTATTTGTAACCTTGAGTAGAAATCCTACTAGTACTGCAGCCAGTTAAGTTGTTGTACGTGCTAGCCAGAAGTCGAGGAAATTTAGATTCATGTGTGAATTATTTTAATACATCTAGTTAAAGCAAGGCTGGCACCTGCGCATTCCTGAAGCTGTGTTAAGTATCACCGGCTTGCAAATGGAGAACATCTTGGGGATGATTACCGAAACTATCACTCCTCTTTCCCTACACCAATCGCTCTGGAGCAGCGATTCTCAACCGGTGGTGCGCAAGAGAAAAATATGTGGTACGAAAAGAAACAAAGTATTTTTAACTGTTAAATTCAAAAACTAAGCACCCCAACATCCTGTTTATATTTTGTTCTCAACACTCATAAATTTATCTGATCTTTGTTCAAGATCAAGACTTCAGCAAAATAATCCGTTTTTATTTTCACGAATATTCTTTCAGCCATAGACATAACAAAATTTTTCATAAATAATGTCTTTAAAAGGTGGAATAGAAATGGATGTTGTATTCAATAGGAAATAAAAAAGTACCTAGAAAAAGGAAATAGTATCTTATTAATTCTTTTAGAAATGATCGATTTATTAGGTTTACATTTTATTTGGTCACCATTTCGAGATTCATATCGAAATGGTGGTTTTCAATTAGAATAATTTTTTTACGTCGAGTTGCTGTCTCTAACAGCAGGTATTTCGTCTTCTTGCTGCTTTGTATTCCTTACTTTTCTAAGCGAATTGAGAACATCGTATTTTGTTTTTTAAGATCTCGTAATATATTGTGCATTTAAATATTTGTGAAAAAATAATAAAAATAAACCTAGATTTTCAAAATGGAAAAATGGCTAGGATTGACTAATTGGAAAAGGGATGATTCGCAGGTGATGGATCCAGAGCAATTTGCTAGGACTAAGAATATTGAAAAAATTTGTTTATAGAAAATATAATAAAAGTTATTTATCATTTGGGTTTTTTCTTCCAAAGATGTACGTGAATTTATATATTAGCGCGTTTTGAAGTTTGGCATATTTGTTGAAAGCAGCATCTAATGCGGTTCACGCACTTTGTTAAAATTATTTGAAAGTAGGAACGATGTAACTTTTTCCCGCTCATGCAGCAACGGAAGGGAAAGGAAAATAGGTTGCCATAAGTTCGCCAAGTGAATTATTTTCGGCGCAAACTGAAAAAAATACGCCAATCTAAATTTTTGTATTTCTCCGTAAATTAAGCGCACTCAATTTTACAAAATTCAATATTTAGGCAAAATTTGAGTCGTATGATCGAAATATGGAAAAAATTGGTATCTTATTTCAGAAAAAGACCCATTTTGTGTCAAAATACCGATGCTAGAACAATGCTATATATAAATCTAATTTATATCCTAAGTCGCGATTTTGAGGCATGAAAAAGGCAATTTGAATTTCGCCAATCGGCGCAGTAGAACGGGAGATATAAAGATATAAAGAAGTGTAATTTTTTTTTTTTTTTTTTCTTCGCAGTGTGCCTGAAATGTTATCTCGCGACGAAACGAACAATTGATAGAAATTTTCTGTGATCGAACTCTAACTGCAGATTCCAAAAATAACACACTTGTTAACTTTTGGCTGAACCGGAAAAAAAAAAGAATTTAAAGACATTTCAAATAAAGCCAGTAAATTTTTAATGCCTTTTTGCTCAATCTATTTGTTTGAACAAGGATTTTCTTCCATGTTATTATATTTGAAAAATGGGCTCAGAACAAAACCTGGATCCTAATTTACAGATAAAAATAAGTGAAATAAGGCCAGACATAAATAAATTGATTTCTCTTAAACAGGCACAAATTTCACACTAAATTTTAAAATTTTATAATTTAAATTTTGATAGTTAAAATGGAAACCAATTTTTAATCTTACATTTTTTATATTTGCATATTTAATACAAACAGACAATACAATTTAATGCAAATTGTGCAAATGACAAAATATTTTTTTAAATATTTCTATTGAGAAATTAAAAAATAATCTTTGTAAAATGTAGTGCTGGTTTTGCAACTTTGTTTAGATGGTACGCGCTATTCAAAAGGTTGAGAATGATTGCTCTAAAGGAGTTTCAGCTCGATATGTATTTTGAGTGTCCTCTTGACGCACAGATACTATACGCTTATAAAAATACATGCATTCTCCATGATCGAAACCGAGCCTGCCGGTATAGCAATCAGCTTCACTACCACCTGAGCAGCTAACTGACAGGAAGTGAGGAAAATAAAATTTATATTTTATTTCTTTGTGTGTTTGTTGCTTTCCCAGTTCGCTTAAGTTTAGTAAGATAATTCACCACTGAAGTTAAAAAGTAACGATTGAGGATAAGTAATTGGTCAAGGCACTAGTTAGCCAGGAAGTCTTAGTCAAATCGTTTTAATATCAAAAATCTAAGGATGCTCATCCAATAGACATTTAGTATTGTAATCTACTTAAAATACTTTGTATAATTTTAATTTGCAGTTCAATAATACATAATGAATTAAAATTCTTTGATAGAAACTGAATTATAACGCAAGCGAATACATTTACCAATTTTTAAATCCCCTTTTAGTAAGGATTGCAGTGCAGAAGTGTAGCATGGTGTTTGTATACTTCCTCCGTTTACGTAAAAGTTCACATGTCCAGCATCATAATCCAGTCCAACTTAATTCATCGAAAAAAAAAAAAAAGAGTTATTAGTATGAGATACAAGATATATTACACTTAAAAAAAGGAATTAGTTAATTTTTCAAAAACTTTTCATGTATTATTTTACATGATTTGTACGACATTTAAAAATTATTAAATAAAATACGATCTTTAAGAAAATATCAAAATATTTCTTATCGTACATTTCTAAATGTGTTGTGTAATTTAAGTTTAACTTAAATTAAAGTAACTTGAAAACTTTGAGAAAATAGTTTTACTTGTGAGTTATATGTATAATTTACAATTTTTAGAGGCCAATTTTTAAGTAACTGAAACGGTTTACAAGCTAGAAATATCAGAACGAAATTAAGATGCGTTTCTATGTATATAATTTTGAATCAATGTAGTTCTGTCACAAAACTATTTAAATGCAACCGAATTATTTTATCGAACGCCATCTAGTGGCAACTAGAACAACTTACAGGCAGTCGGCCTCCAACTGCGATGAGGATAGGTTTCTGAATATTATGTCTCTGTAACTCGAACATTAATTCTAAATGTTAGATTTTTCGGTACTATTCTGTTTTGAGGATCGTAAAAAAATTACAGCGAAAATGTATGCGCAAAAGCGCCAAATCTAGCAAACGCGGCGCGCCAAATCTAGCGTACGCGCTAATTTCAAATTGTGTAAGTTTATATAGTTCTATATTTCTTAAGACGCCATTGAAATACTAGTTTAATTTTTAAATCCTTTTTTGATATCCTATGGATTAACAATTTGGGAACTGCCCATGACGAAAAGTAGGCAATTGAATTTTGGGTAAAGAGCAGAATTATCCACTGCTTGACGCATTTTTTTAAAATTGCTCATATTAGGTATCCATGTGCACATCGACCTATTTTCACTTAAAAAAAAAATCTCAGAATTGCACAGAAATGGCACTGCGCACACCCTTGACTTTATCTATGTACACATCGACCTATTTTCACTTAAAAAGTAAACAAAAATTGACAAAATCCAATTGTTTTTCCCTTATAAAAAGCGGCAAACAAATAAGTGAGCGATTCTGCACTTTGCCGAGAATTTTTTCAAAGAAAAGGCATCATTCATTATAGAAAATTATGTTTGAACAACCAACGAGATAAAATTATGCTTTAGCGATAACTCTTTAGCGAAATAGCGATGCAGGCATTCATTCAGTTATGTTTAGCAATTTTTATATAAATTATAATAATGATCTGAAATAGTTATTTACTCTTATGCTTCCCTTCAGTCATGTTTAGCCTTTTTTATATAAATTATAATAATAAAAAGTATTATATGAAATTAACCTTTCATCTAAATTAAAACATCAATCTTAGATAATTACGAGTATTTACTATTATACTTCCTTTTTTGCGTTAGGGTTGCCGCAATTATTTTTGGCAGCACTGGCATCAACAATAGTTTGGCGATTTTTTACGGCCCTCAAAACAGAATAGTACCGATTTTTCGCTTTTGTGCACGCTTTGTTTTGATGTATATTTTCTTTGTAACTGTTTCTGTGCTGTGTTAGTAAATACTTTTAGAGCTAGCCGGGGTTTGTGTTTATAAAGAACGTTAGGTTGTATTAGACCCTTGCTCTGTAAAATTTAGTCTGTCTTTAACATAATACCTAAAATAAATTATTGTTACATGACAAAGGAGTCATTTATGACCCCATCTAACACGATCACCCTATAATATCTAAATAAGTGACGATGGCTTAGAAGAAGGAGTTTAGAAATGACAAAGAAAAGTAAGGTAAATTTTACATAAGAAATGACGAAATGGATGTTTAAATCACCTTTATGTGTGGTAACTTACAATTTGGAAGACATGCTCCAGCATTGCAGTGCCAAACATCTACAATTTCAGCATCACTCGGGTCCAGTCTTTCTGAAGAAGGGAGGCTTTCAGGAAACCCTGGTCTTGCAGGATCCAAGCCTGCAGAACATAAAGAAAAAAGTGAAAATTCAAAATTTCATTAGAAATACTTAGGTACCGTGTCCATCAAAGTCATTACAGAGTTTTTATTTTCGCAACTGTTGCTCGTACACATATACTTCCAACCACAAAAATGTCGTAAATGGTGCAAATATAATTTTTGGTACTTTTCCGTTTTGCTTGCGCAAACGATAAAGTCACCAATAATGGAACAACTGATGCCAAACGGAATATCTTCGCTGGTAACCTTAACCTTTTACCCTTCATTTTCAAAACAAGTCGCAGCCATTTCTTATCAGATTGGTTGTTTCTTTCAATACTGGCATACAATTACATAGAATTTTTACAAAGATAATTAAATTTTATGCCCTAAGACATTCGCGGTAATATGTTTAGAGTTTCCGATACAGTCTCGAGCGCTGGAGATCATTTTTTTTTCCTTACAATGTTGCCACTGCTTGCTTTGAAATTGTTGAGTTTTTTAATGAAACATTCCTTAAAATTTTACAAATATGAAATAGACAATAAAACAAATTCCAGGTTCCCCTGTTCGGGTGGAGGACTGTCTTATTCAAAATCTGATGACTCTAGCAACTGTTGTTTTTGCACAGTGCAAATAACATGCATACATTCATTCGGATTCTTCATTATTTAATTTCTTTAATTATAATACAGAACTCTAATATTTGGTGGAAACAATTTGAAAAGCGAAACGCCATTTATAGTGAACCAAAGCAAAATGCTAAAACGAAATTAATAGCTCTTCTGGGCTAAAATATTTAAAAAAATTTTAATTTATTGAACTTTTTGTACAAATACTAGACTGTGATTCTAAACTAATAAAACTTCGTGGGAATAAGAAGAAGGTGTTTTCAAATTTTTAGAGTGACAAATTTTTTTTTAATTTATTTTTTCGATAAAGAATTCAAAAAAGCAAATGTTTATTAACTGAAATGAGAAATATCATCTGCTGCTTTTACATTTATTTGTTTTTCAAAATATTGCATGAAACAAACTTTGGCTTGAAGGACACGTTTTTACGCTTTCCGAAAAGAATTATCGCTATTCCATAATTCAAAAATTTCGTAAAATGCATGGTATTAAAATTCCCAAGAACAAAATAATCAGTTTGATTAATCCGAAGCGGAAGAATTTTCAAATGCTATTTCTAATACCAGGAAACGCTACGTACTTTTTCTAAATTTTTGGTAACGAGAAAATTCTCCGATGCAGAAATCAATTCCCAAGTCTTTAAATACATCTGTAGCAACAACAGACAAATTAACAAACCAAAATTTACAACTTAAAAACATAACGTACAAAAGCTTAAGGCAAGTGACTTAGCTCGTACCAGTAGATAAATGAAAGTATTTACCAGGAGATAAATGAAAGTAATTCTTGATGAAGCATGGGTTTTCCTAAATGTCTGCAACAAAAAAAAAAAAAAAAAAAAAAAAAAAAGGCCTACTTATTACGGAAAACGAAGAGAAAAAATTGTACACATCTGGCCTAGTCAATGCAAGGTCTTGTTTGTAGTTAGGACTATATGATTATCATACTATTCTCGTAAAGCGCAAAATATGAAAAGTGGCAAAAAATGTTAAAATTAATTCAAGGTACAATCAAGAGAAAGTTTTTCATTCGAAATTTGTAGGAGAAATTTCATTTCTTTGTCCCAATGACTTTAAAAGAACGAAATTTCATCAAGACAAAGCACAAAGTCATACTTCGAAAAATGCCACTACATTCCTTGAACAAATGAAGACTGATACGCGTATTGCAAATATACCTTTTTAACCTTTTACTGCTAAGTACCCTGAAGTTTTACCTATGGACCTATTGCCTCGGCTTTCTTGAAAAGAGCTTTTTCTAACCGCAAATCTACTACGATTGATGAACTCTAGGAAGTAATGGAAGAGGAAGGGAAACCAATAACCCTGAAAATTTGAAAAAATCTCTTTTACCATGGAAATCACAACGTAGATTTATAATCTATAATAAAGACTATGGGATCGAACATTTTTAGAGCTGCTCTTTACATATTAAACATTAGTTAAACAGCCCCAAACTTATTCTAAAAATGTGTAAACACTATGTGTAAACTAACTGTAATTTTAGAAAAGAATTATATAAATTACTTGTCTGAAAATTTTTTGTGTTCAGCAAATGTAGCAAAATTTTTTATTAAAGACAACAGAATATTATTAAGGCCATTTATGCGAAAAATAAATCAACCTTGAATTAATCTAATTTATTTATTAACCGACCTCTCATTGTAAATTTAACAGATGCTTAAGTTCACAAATTTTGAAATTAAATATCTTGGTCAATGTTTCTCCTACGGCAATCAAATGTTTTACATTGTTTTATTTTCTATACCAGGTATATAATTTTCCTAAATATATGTATAGAGACCGAAGGAACATATAAAATGATAGATTTCATAATTTACAAAATTGTTTTCTTTAACTTTAAAAATAACAAAACAAAATTTTTTGAGTCGTTTAAGACATCATTCCAAATGGAGATATGTATCTATCGAAAAAAAAAAAAAAGAAAAAAAAGTTGCGAAAATAAATCCCGGATAAGGTCTTGTTTGCATATGATGCACATTTGTGTTGTATTTACAAATAACATAATATTCGCTGTTTGTAAAAGGTAAAAGCTGCATGAGATTTTTTATTAGTCCAAAGGGGCTTTGTCCCTGAAGGACTATTGTTTTCGATTTGCGATTTTGCGTTGGTTCACTATAAATGTCCGTTTCACTTTTCAAACTGTTGCCACCAAATGTTAGAGTCCTGCAATGTATTTGAAGAAATTAAATAAGAAAAATCTGCATAAATGTATGTATATTTCTCGCATTGTGATAAAACAACGGTACATAGAGCCATCGAATTTTGAATGACGTAATCCTACTGCGAATTTGGGCATGTGGAAGCCAAATTTGAAATTTGGAACTTGTTTTGTTATCGATTTCATATTTTGTAAAATATTAACGGATTTTTGATGAACAAACTCGAGGATTTCAAAGCGAGCAATCGCAACGTTGTACAGGAAAAACATTTTTATCTACAGCGCGCGAGACTCTGTATCGGAAATTCTAAAAACATACTCAATTTAAAACTATTTTGCGACATTGCTCTTGAACTGGGTTTTATGATTTAAGTGCGAATAACGTGATATTTAATAAATACAGATAACAAACGAAATGTTAAAAAAAGTCCCTTTGGATGTAATTTAAAATCTGAAACCTTTCAGATTTTATTTATTTATTTATCTATTTTTTTATTTTATTTTATTTTTATTATTACTTTTTTTTTTTATAATCATGAATGAGAATGTTCCTTCCTCGTTTTACCTGAGGATCTTAATAATACTGACAATGAGTCTTTGCAGCGGCCGAGCTGTAAAGTCGCTGAACATTGGTAGTTCTTTCGGGGATCGAATCCCGATGAACGGACTGTCTCCGCGCGCGTTTTAGTAGTATTCTTCATGTGTAACGTGTATACGAGCCAGTTTTCCTTACAATCATTCCCGAAGGCATCCCTTCCTGAAGATAACCCTTAAGTGATTTACCATAACCAATCAAAACAAACTTAATAATGACAAACAGTTTTAGATGAGTTGCATCAATGGCCACTTAATTTATGAAATTAAATACTAAGTATCACATATCAAGTATTTTAGACTTGGCAAAATAGTTTTTATAGAGAGTAAGTTAAAATTAAGAATTATCTCACGCAATTGCCTCAAAACGAAGTGGGTGTTATTAATAATAACCTGCAGCAGAAACTTGATAAAAAAGCTCCAGGAAACAGTTGATTTCATCATTTTAGTATAACGAAGTATCCTCAAGTTTCAAGAAACGTTCTGTTCGAAATTGTAACAGCACGCTCAAATTATCGAAAGTTGTTATTTTTCTGGGCACCATAAATAGTTATCAAATGAAGCTACAGAATACTGTCAAATAAAATTCAGAAGCTGTTCGTAGAATACGACACATGCCTTAATGAATGTAAAAAAATGTGCTGAAATGTAGGTGAAGATCCAGGCTTTCCTGTCAAAGTAAAGCTTATATGCGTTCAAAATGATGTGAAAATAATCACCTGTAATTCTGTGCACTTTGAAAATGGCTCCTATTCGAGCGGCAAGTTGTGCACCGAAACTGTGTCCTATGACATAGAATTTATCGTAAGTAATTCCAGTTTGGTCCTGTTAAAAAGAAATTAAATAAAATAATCATGTATTGCATACAACACTGCCAAAGAATAAACTTAAAAGGATTTTAAACTATTAAGCAGTATTTCCCGCCGTTTTACGAAAAACTTTCTTAACCCTCTATTATCATTCAGGTTTCTAAATCGACAGGCAATTCATTCCCACAATATACGAAAGCTAGCATTCTTGGGCAGGATGTTTTCTTGGATCAAATGAGCTGCGTTATAATTTTGCTTTTTACATGGAAAATTTCAGGGGAAAAAATCCTATTTGAGCTGAAAATTTTGCCATCATGAATGGGATGCTCGTAGAAATTAGAGCAGCCAAGTGGTCGTAAAATCTTGACCGCTTGCTAGCTTAGTTCGCTAAGTTAACTATTCATTATTTAAATTAATTATAAATTCTCTTGTTTAATTATGCATTCCTTTAGCTTGGGCTAAACTGTGAATTATGTAAACTAATTATATATTGTTTTGTTCAAACATGTACTCCTTTTCCTAAGACTAACTTCCGCATTGTTTTAAATCTTATTCGGGAAACTTATTAAATGTTAACAGTGTAAACTCTGATTAAATAAAGGATAAATTATCTAATCAGTTACTATTTAAATGTGTGCCAAAAGAGGAGTATCTAAATTAGTAAATGAATTAAGACTAAAATCTAGAAACTTTCATTCCACTAGCAAAGTATTGAACATAAGATATCGAAAAACTGAATTCGGTATTCTAATCAGCACCCTGTGATAACATTCGTGAAGAAAATTGTGAATTCTTAAAGGTATATCTATAACCTCAAACAGAAAACATGTTAAGTAATTTCTTAATAATTTTCGGCATGTTAATTTTAATAAAAAGGTGGTTCGAGGCAAGAAAAATTTAGAACTCTCTTCTGTGTAAGACAGTCAGGGAATTTCAAAGGATTTTCTTTTACATACCCACTACATCTTTTTTTTTAGTGTCACTAACAGAAAAAGTTAAACAAAAGCAGGACAAAAGAGTGTATAGAGAAACAGGGAAAAAAACTAAAAATTTCAAATTACAATCTGAAATATCAGAAAGTGCAGTCCTAAGGTTTCAAGAAAAGTATAGCAGCACTTTCATTTTCATACAACGCATAAAAAAATAAGTTACATAAACACTGTAATAATGATTTAGGGGCTCCAAACGGGGTCGGTATTGACCCTCCCGTTAGTCGATGTAATTTTGTGGCGATCAGTTATGATCAAGGGGTGGACAGCTGAATATGCACTGACAATTCATGGGCATGGTTAAAATCCCATTGATTAAAATCTATTTATAGAATTAAAAAATTAATTTTTTATTGATATAAATCTATATCATATAATAAATAAGAACCCATATAGAATAAATACAAGTGGAAAGTGTATTCAAATATGAGGCAAGAAGAGTTGATTTCATTGAAGGAAGATGTTCAAGCACAATTCTTATTCAAAACACATAGATTTTGAATAGGCTAAGATTTTGAAATTAAAAGTGATCCGACAGAAATATTTCCAAATAAAAATTGTTACCTTTACCCTCTTCTTACCTAATAGAAGCAGCCTTTAATCAACTTAATAATAATTTACTACAGAAAGCGAGAAACAGGTTGAATATTTTTGAACGAGACGATTTAAGAATAAGTTAAACCTTTTTGCGCCAAATATTAAACAAATTGCACCAATACATCAAGAAAAGCCGTCATATTTAATAAAACTCAAACTTCCGTGCAATTAGAATCTATGATTTTCTTCCCCGGAATTTATTTATATTCGTAACATTAAAAATAACAACATACAAAAAAGTAATAAAACATAAATTTAATGAACCATTTTTTCAAAACTTTTTCATATTCTTAGTCTAGTTGCTATCTTTAAATTATTTATGGGAAATTATTTGTATTGTTACGTGCGTACGGGTTCGTAATGGACTGAATGCATACAGAACCGATGAGAGCTTGATTAAATTTATTTTTTCAAAAGAAACACTTTACAGTTCTGGAACTTTCCGCAAAAGTACTCGTACAGCTCCTCTTAGTATAACAAAGCACAGTCAGTAGTTACCACTCCAAAGCACATCCAAAGATCGAAAGTCACATAATCTCACAATACTCCGAAATCATCACTAAATTAAATACTGAAAGTTGGCGATATCTCGTCATTTTAGTGAGATAGCCATTTACGTTAATGTTAAATAGACTTGCACCTGTATCTTTATTTTTCCTGCAGAGCTTCGCCTGTTCAGACATTTCATGTTACATTATACAAAAGATACTACGTACAGTTTCACTAAAGATTATTCACATATATGTACAATTCGTAACGGTATTTTGATTATGCTGTACTAATCTGCATATTTAAGAGCAAACTGTAAGAAATCAACGGGGGGGAAAAACGTTCTTTTAAAGGGGGTTGATGTAAGAAAAAGTTTGGAAATCCCTGTACTATTTTGTGTCCATATAATCCCTGTTTGACACAGCAAAATGGGGAAAGAGTACTTTTCTCCTAAGATTTTTTAATTATGATTAATAATATTGTTATATATTCTTATACAATCGCAACTACATTTCTTTATGATGTTTTATTGAAAGTAAATTGTGTCAAAAATTTCCTTAGCTCAGCGAAAATGTAAATATATGTTTACATATGTTGGATATTTTACCTGAATATTCTGGAGAACTGTCACTATCTGCTTTGCAATTAGCTGTATATTTGCTAAAGCGGAGGAGTAGTCAAACTCATGAGCCCAAGAATAATCTGGTAATAAAACGTTGTAATCTCCTTTTTTCAGAAATTCATTCTTATATTCCTATAAACAAGAGCGGAAAATTAAGTTAAATTATTAAAAATCATATAGACACATTAAAAAATCAAGTTACTTGAGCAGCAACACTATTAAAAAAGGCTAAATGATTAGTTTCATGGGAAAAAAAAAGAAAATTGATAATAGCATGCACAACATGAAATCGAAATCGTCAATATCATCAAATACTATTTCAGTAAATTACTTTAATCTGATTTCTTAAAGTGTGTCTACCAAAATTATCGCGGTAAAAACATGGCAGACGAAAGCGTCGTGGAGAATATAACGCAGGGGCAAAAACTTTGTCCTTCAAAACACGTGGAAGAAAAGTAAAGATAAAACATCACAGTTCTAAACATATTTGTATGAAACAACGTCACAAAAAAAGCGGTTTGAAAACATCGCAGTTTTAAAGCATCGTTGCAAAAAATATGGTTGCAAAAATATCATCGAATAACAACAGCATCGCAAATATGTGTTTGTTCAGATTTTAAAATTTGTAAATGTATATTGGCATAATAAATCGTGAACTCAAGAAGAAATGAGAAATATTTTTACCTCTTTATTTCATATATTTGAAATAATTAATAATTTTTGCTAATAAAAGAAATGATTAAAACTGAGCATTCAAAAACTGACAATGAGTAGAATATTAATGCTACGCATAATAGGTATTAAGTTTAATTAATAGTTCACTATTAAAGCTCATTTTATTTAATTAATCTCTCTTGTCTAGTTGTACTGGTAGTTTTCCATGAAAAATATAGTCAAAGAAAGATTTGAAAAGGGAAGATGAATAACTGCAGGAGGTTACTATAATATTATTTCTATTATCATGCAGAAGGTTATCTACATTAGTACATTAGTACTTAAAAATCAATTAATTTAAAATTATGAAATATATAGGTAAAAATATTTTTTCATTTCTTTTTGCGTTGACAATGCGAATGTACGTTTACAATTTTTAAAATCTGAAAACCACAATCTGCAGTGTTATCGTCATGCGATGATTTGTAGGTGCTTTATTTTTATTTATTTATTTTACTTGCAACGATATTTTCCGCGACGATGTTTTAAAACTGCAATGTTTTTGAACCGCTGTATTTTCGACCACGACGTTATAACTGCGATGTTTTTCTTTCCTCTCACGTTGTGTTGTATGACGACGTTTTCACCCTGCGTTCTTTTCTCCGAGACTCTTTCAAGCGCGGTATTTTCACCTGTAACCCTCTTAAAGTGCAGATAAATAGAGGAAGAATGTATACTGTTTAAAATTTTATCTACAGGTTACTTAGAATTAACGAGCGAGATAGATTAATAGCGTGTGAATAGTGTTTTTACAAACAGAAAAAAAAATCAGCCTTCATTTATTTATCAAACAGAAGAAGTGGTCAGTCATATATTAACTTCGAAATAAATTTTGAGAGCATTTTTTATAGCATATTTCCTAATTCAGAAGTCAAACAACAAAAATCAGCGTTAATTTACAAAATTTTGTAAATTAACGCTGATTTTTGTTGTTTGACTTCTGAATTAGTATTTATTCGGCGTGTTATTGTGTCTTAAGCATATTTCCTATTTGAAAGACTATACTTCCTCATAGTTACGAGAACTACAATACCAAAATTAAATGCGCGTGATAGATACTTATATTAAAAATAAAAAGATATAAGTTCATTTAGAGATTCTGCTACTATCCCTTCGGTGTAAGTAAACTGCTCATCGTTTTCTTCTGTTTAAAATTCCATCTAATTATCAAATATACAGTAGATGAAATAGTGCATTGTCTAGTAGGAAATATGAATTAATATTTACGAACAAAGCAGATTGCATCTTTTACGCAACACTATTTTTAAATATATTGAACAATAAAAATGAGTTTTTAAATTTGGTAACCGTAGGACTTTACAATTGCGAGATCACAGTGTGGAATTATATTTGAGTTGAGTTTCACTAACAAAATTGTTTTAATTTATATCTTTCTTTCTGCCTCATTTCGTCACGAGCTAGCTCGTTATGCAAATCTGAGTGGCGAGTAAATTTGTGTGAAATTAGCATAGCTCGTAACTCTATAGGATTCTAGATTAACATTGGCCTGCTTGCCACTCAGCTGATAGCTGCTACCTCGCGTACTGAAAATATATTTGGTTGAGAAGCCTCGTATAAAAAAAGTAGTGCAAACGAAGAACTTGCCCTAGCCATCTCTCTGTCAATTCCATTATCACATCTTTTAAATCATGACTGTGTAAGAATTATGTTAATTTTATTAACAGTTAAATTTTGAGTTAAAATTCCTTTCCCGTCGATTCTTAAGTTCAACTTACTACTTCCGGCCAGAACGTAGTTTTAGAATCACGTCTAAATACATAATGAGGAAGAGCGGTATTTAAGGGAGCAGTACAAGTTCTTCGGTCTTAGAGAGAGATACCAGGTTTTTGGCTGCACGGGTCCGCCTTTCTAGGCTACTCTCTATTAAGCTATTATTACGCTCAGCCGTACTTTAGGTCCTTGATAGCTTCGCAGTCTATTAATGTTAAGGGGCCAACTCGGTTAGAATCTTGATAGCTTCGGCTATATTGTAAGGATCCTAAGTTTTACTAACGTTTATTTTTATTTTAAAACTGTACTATCACTTCTTATTTTCTACTTCCGGCCAGAATTAAATGCTTTAACTTTTTTATGTAAATTGTCTTGCTAACGCCCAAGTATTTAAGTTGTGGCTTTTTGCCAAGAAAGAGAGAGAAGGAGATTTAGGAAGCGAACCGCTTGCCACTGCAGTCTTACGAGGTTTTCCACTCGGTTGCTGTTTACCTTTAAGGCTAGAGGTTTAGCCCTCTTGATATTTGAAAACGTATTGTAGTTTCAACAGCTCGGCGTACTACATACGTACCCTTTTAAATAAAGGCCAGTCTTAGTGCTAGGCATTTGTATATTAGTTCAAAGTTAGCTTTTAGTTAGAGTTTTAGTTAGTTGTTTTATATTTTTACGTTCAGACCACAAGTGGTTGGTCTCTGTATCCCGAAGTTCAGGAGTACCTGTAAATTAATAGAGAATAAAGGGTTTAGTATACCCTTCCTGCTGGTGTCGTCTATTCCACACCATCTGAAACAGAGCTTTAGTAAGCTCACTGTTCTTATTCAGGATACAGTATGTTCCCGAAACAAGTGAAGAGACATACATCTCCTGGCAATATCTCTTTTTAGTTTAAATTAGTATTATTCTTAGTCTCTTAGTTCAAAGCTCAAGTGTCGGCTTTATTGTATACTCCGCCCTTTAAGAACATTTAACTTCTTCCTGGTGCCCTCAAGCGAATTAACCACTACATGTAGAGCAGTGACAGTTTTCCTGACGGCGCAGGGCCATTTTGCAGCCTATCCGTTTCGCTTCGAATTGCACCACACAGATCAGCTCAACAGGTACCATCGATCACTACATGTTCTCATGCGAAATCACCAAAAACCTACATTTCCGGCCATATACAGCTGAAAGTGCCTAGTTATGGTTGAAACTACTCCAAAAGAGTAGCCACTGCGAAACAAATTTAAAACTATCATAGACTACCTGGCAATGAACTGCGAAAATCTAAAAGTAATCTAGAATTAAAAAACGAAACAGCTCTCAGCATAGATCTAGCGGATGAGGGGTAGTATAATGAACTTAATATTTTCTAGTCCCATTTTTTTTTTTTTTTTTTTTTTTTTTTTTTTTTTTTTTTTTTTTTTTTTTTTTTTTTTTTTTTTTTTTTTTTTTTTTTTTTTTTTTTTTTTTTTTTTTTTTGTTTTTTTTTTTTTTTTTTGTTTTTTTTTTTTTTTTTTTTTTTTTTTTTTTTTTCTTGCACTGTTCTGCACCAGTAACCTATAAGTAACCAGTAACCTTCTAGTCCGATCTTGCACTGTTCTGCACCAGTACAAAATGCCAAGCAGATATAAAATGATGCCCTGTGTATAAGTGACCCGCATATGGTTTTCAACGAGCACATAAATCTTCAACTCTACGCACTGATTTGTATTTCTCAGCGTCCCCTTCAGTTATCAGGCAGACTATACATAAGTTAATTGTAAGCGAACAGTAAATAAGTGAATAACGCAATCGACTACTATGAATATGACAAGCAAATATTACACAGGAACTCCGCAAATATGTGAACGGCACATAATATTGTACACTGCGCAAGAAAAGAAAAGAAAAAAAAAAAAAAAGGGCGGGGGCAGTTCTATATCTGCCGATATCTTCCTTATACAGCATGGGCATTATTTACTCCTAGCGTAGTGATACGCTTTGTATCCTGCATTAAGTTTTTGGTTTGCTTTTGAGCAGTTTATACCCTTTTTAATTTCCTCATTATAGTGTCTGACGCTTCCTGTTTATGAGAGCCATACCCTGTGCATATTTTATTCCCTTACAATATTTAGCTGTGTGGTTGTAGCTCAAATATTTGATGCGCTGTACGATCTTCAAATATTCTGTAATATTATTTCTAATCCACTTGAGTTGAGTTTTCTGTTGAGCAAGTTGAGTTTTCTGTTTTTCATTAGCTTGTCCGTATTTAGATTTCATTAAGAAAAACTATCTCTGCATCTTCGAATTTCATATTTTGGGTTTTAACTAGTTTTTCTAACCTCATCTTTGCCAGTGTCTTTATTCACGTTATATATTATTACTTTTTAATTCAGTTTCTCTGGATATTTCATTGCCAGCACGTCCTTTAGTTGTATGTTTTCTTTAATAGCTTACTCTAGTATTGTTAAGTCATTTTTTTTTTTTTTTGGTTACCTCTAACAGCAGTCTTCCATTGCTAATTTTCTTTACACTTTTAACTCCTACCTTAAAAATTTACCTTTCACCTCTTTTAATGTACTGTCCTGTTTTGAGTACACTAATAGAATATGTTCTTGTTCTAATCGACTATTCTCCGACTGTGATCATCTACTATATTGTGAACTGTTTCTTGATTCAGCTGGCGATCTTGCGATTTCTACACAGGATATGCGCTCTTGCACTATGGGTTGCTGAATGAGGTTCTTTAGAATTTAGGAATGTTCGATTTGACCTGCTAGTTTTGAAATATGAGGCCTTTGTGTAGTATTAATTCTTAATAAACTAAAAAAACAAACTCCTGATGATTTTAGCCAATTTCTTAGGAATTCCTTCTTTTATGAGAAATCCATCTGTATTACTCAAACATGTTTGCACTTCCTTCAGCACTTGACTGGCGTTAGCTAAAAGTTCATCTTCTAAGTGCTGCGATCCTAGCTGTTCGTTTGTAGATGCTTTGATTGTAGAGCGCTGATTGATAGCGTTTCGCTATCAAAACGCTGTTGCCTTTCTGGAGAACATTTTGAGGATCTAATAGAATTATTAGTTGTTTCTACATGTGAATCTAGGAAAAATGTGCTGTCTAGAATTGAAATGTTATATACAGTTGCACAGACATTAGCCTATTTTTGAAACAAGAGATGTGAAAAATGAGCAATGCCCTCGCCGGTATTCGAACAACGGGCTTCTCGAATACGCGCCGAGTGTGCTGGCCATTACAACACGAAGGCATACTAAGAAGGAGGGAGAAATACCTTATATACTTCCCCTTTTAAAGGGAAGCAGGAGACGAGAAAAATGTGCAGTACCCTGGCCGGGACTCGAGCCTGGACCTCTCAGATACGCGCCAAGTATGCTACTGTTGCACCACGAAGGCATGCAGAAAGAAGGAAGAAAATACCTTATGTACTTCCCCTTTTAAAAGGCGATTAGGAATTAGGGGTCCCAATCGCCAAACCCTGGTGGTGAAGAATCATCATCCACCACCTTTTTTAGCTTTATTTAATGTTAGTTTATGATGATCTGTATTCTACATTTCCTTTCCAAAAGAGAAGGAATTGTATTTAACTTTCGTCTGTATTTTTTAAAAGTATTTTTGCGTTCTACGGGTTCGTGGGTTTGGAGTGACTGATGACCACACGTCATGAAGAATCAAAACACGATTTATTCGTCAGTATTACACAAGGCAGTTCCAAAGCCGAGTTACAGTAGTAGAAAAACTAGACAAACAACTTTCAGGCTAACAGGCTGTAACGGCTCCCAACTCTGTCGATCGCTCTCGAGCTCAAGACGCTACTACTGAATTCCACATACTTTTACACTGCTGAATTCAAGATACTCTTAGTCCGCGTACAGGCAGGTTATGTATAGCTTTATCTTACCTTCAAGAACATTCCCGAGGAAAACAGGCAGGAGGAGTGCGTTCTAGAATGTTCTCGCTCCGTCTATGGCATATGGCCAACTTTGCCGCCAAATCTTGCAACCCTGCATTTCCTTGCTACTTTCTAGCAAACCTAACCGCGATTTGCGGGAATGCTATTCTACCTCAGCTGGGTATTTCACAATATATTCACATTACTTTTAATTTGTTTTAATGAGACTGTGCATTAAACAATATTAAATATACATGGCATTCAAAAACAAGGTTTCCATATCAGGTGTCTTTTCTTTAAATGATAATCTTGACTTTTACTTCTAATTGAAAATGTTTTAAAAATATGGTCATGAATTTTATGTAAATTTATGTATTTTATGTAATTGGAATTAGGAATATCTCGTATAAAACCTAACTCAGGTGTTCTCCACCAGAGTGCAATTTCATAGTTTCAGGAGAGAATGTAGTCACATGTTATGCATTTAATTTTAGTTTATGCATATAAAAAACTACTTTCATTCAAGTTTTGTTATTTATACACATTTTCTATATTTTTCTTATTTAATCTATAGTACATATTAAAAATATGAAAAATTTAAGAAAAATGTATTTTTCGAATTTTGAAAAGAAGGGTGGAGACGATTGATTACCTAGCATTGGTGAAAGTGATGTACAGGGCAAAAAATCTTCTCATATATAAAAAACAAATACTCCATGTCCTCACTACAAAATTCGAAAGTTGGCGCGCATATCTGTGATATTCGCGAATACATGTATGCAATATTTTATTATAGCATAATGAACACACCTGATTCTGTTTTTACACGACTTACGTTCTTAAAGAATATATATAAAAACATTCGGTAAAAAAAAAATTGCATTTATTAGAGAGAAGAAAATTAGTTCTAAAAATCATCAAAAATAATTAAACCAAATCTTTTGAAAAATATTCATATTAAGCTTAACAAAATGCATGCTATAATGAAATGTATAAAAGTAAATTTGCATTTCAAGTGAAAAAATGTTTCAGGACCCCCCCCCCCCCAAATACGACAGCTATAACCAGAAATATTATGGATATAATCTTCTGTCGTTTGTCATTGTTATGACTAATCTTGTTCGTCTGATATCAGAGCAAGCCCACAAAATTTATTGTGACAAGGAGGCAAGATTAAGCCTGTCGTGTGCAAGAACCTTGGGCACCATACAGTTGACATGGTCCGAGGGTCTCCCACCTCTCTTGCCCTACCACACCCTATTGAGAGGAATTTTGGGTCGCCGCATATTTAGAGTGCCCCCTGCCGCACAGACACTTTACATTTACAAACGTACATGCCTTCTCCCGGATTCGAACTAGGGCCCTTCTGTACGGCAGTCAGCGCCGCTAACAACTACCCCGGCTGGGCGGCTATCATCTTCTTCCTCTACTAATGAAATTCTTTCTGTGATCAATGTCAGCACGTGCTCTTAACCAATCTCAGCACAAATTTCGTCTGGTGTTGATGTTTCACCGGTTTTGCGAAAGAATTTTATTCTTTATCTTTGTATTCGTGTTTTGGTTAGGTCGTTATATAATTCTCCGTAAAAGGTCATCAAGGACTTCCGTTCACACTGAGACTTCACAACGTGTTAATCATTAAAGTTATATTTGGCAAAATGATTAACCGATTTTCTAACCAGTTTTCACTTTCTTTTATTCTTTTTTTAAATTTACATTTAGAAGTGTATCATTTTCTTCATTAGCATTTCGTTCTGTTAGATAAGGAATTTGACTAATCTTTCATTTTATCCTCCGTTAAAGCTTTGTTGACTAATAATTCATCAATATCTTCAACCGATAGATCGTTAAATTCTTCTCCACTGATTATGTGTGTCATTGTAATAATGCTGCGATATTCAATCACAATAGAGATAATGGTATCTTTGCTTTAACACGTTATGGCTAAACTGCTTTTCAAAACGCGCTCAAATTTCCTAGTTTTAATTCAGTTAACGCTAATTCAACTTGATTGATATAATCCATAACTGTGATTTCTTAAAATTTAGCTTGGTCAGCTCATGTGAAATGAAAATGACACTCGTAAAAAAGAGAATATTTATTTTGAAATTCGGGTTAAATCAAATTCGTGTAAAAGATTTTCATGTAAAACAAAATTAGGTATACTTCAGTAATTGAAATGTTTGCTCTATAGGACCATATAAAAAGTAACATTTCATATTTACCGGATCCTCTTTTTTTCAAATTGAGGAAGGATTTCCGTAAAAGTTTTTATCTTATTTTTAAAACATTTAGTAAATGGAATAGCACGTCAAATACTCGTATAAAGCTTGCAACGTTTCGAATATAAACTTGAACGTTTTCGAACGTCGTATAACATTATGATTAAAAGATCTCAAGGAATGATATTGACGCAATAATTTTTACACTTACAATACGACGTAACAGTTTTTATACTTTCGACATTATTCGTAGGACATTAATTAGTAATATTAATTGGTATTATTTCTAGTTTTCTTACCCTTGGAAATGCATTGTCACATACACCGGACAAAAACCCTGGGAGGAAAATTATAAATGTTTTACTGGGATCAAAGTTTGTACTGCTTGGTAATTTGCCACCACATTTATGGAGCAACTCTGGCTTGTCCCAGTTCCTCCTTGTAAAGAGGTAGAAGTAAGTATCAGCCTTAGTATCATTCCTGACCGACCGAGAGAGATCTTTATAGACATCTGTGAATTCTTCATTGCAGTCTTTCTGTTCTTCGCTGAAACATTTAAATCGTAATGATAGCATCGAATTGAAGGGATCATCACCTGCAATTATGAAAATAAAATTTGAAATAATAACTGATTTAAAAGTCTATGCAAGCGAAGCAACTACTTTATAATTGTCTGCTCATAAAATGTTTGATTTATAACTCTAATATTTCTGAATATCATCTCCAAATATGGTAGTGTTCCATGATATGGTATGTTTAGAAATAACATAACTAAAACGTTTGAAATCGGTAGCGGACACTTAGCCGACAACCACTTAGCCGATGGGACACTTAACCTACACCAGTTAGCCGACAAGACATTTAGCCGACAAGGACACTTAGCCGACATGGACACTTAGCCGACAGGATATTTAGCCAACACGGACACTTATCCGACAGTACGTTTTAGCCGACAAGGACAGTTAGCCGACAGAACATTTAGCCGACAAGGACACTTAGCCGACAGGACACTTCGCCGACATGACATTAAGCCGACAATGAGTCTCGTTCTCCTTTCCCTGTCAGGAAGCAGAGTGATTCGCCCTACTCCTCGCCATATTGGAACTACTTTTTTATCTAAAATGCTATTTACACCCTAAGAATGCTATAATATTTACAGGTTAGGCATCGCATATTTATTAATCTGGGATAGGGCTCCGGCACGGGAATTCGTACCTTGCGGCTTGCGGCCACATAACAGAAGTAGGTTTGGTTTGTGTAATTACGGCAAAGCCAGGAGCATTTGAGAATGCATTTTGCTCATAGATCATGTAAACAGGAAATTAATGCTAACGATGCAATGTTTTAAATTTTACTAATTGAAAAAAACCGTTAAAAAATTAAGAATTATAAGTAAAAGAAAACAAACATATAAATTGAATAGTGTTTCACCATAGTTATTTTAATTTCTGGATTAGGTTACTGGGTGTTAAAATAATCTGCTAAGTAAAATTGCCACATATTGTAAGCTTACTAGTTTTCACTGTGCATGGTAGCATAAATCCTGATTAGCTTATTAAAGTGTTCCATACACAAATATATATGAGTTTCTTATACCATAACATGCCTAACTTGTTCCTGGCATTAAGTTTTTATCTAAAAGCACTTACTGGCGTTTTTGATTATTTGTAGTTGTTGCAGCCGAATGTAAAAATGTTTTATTGTAGTAATAAATTATGTAGATTTAAAAAATTTTGAAAAAGTAAAGAAAATCATGCAAGTAGTAAGTAAAGCAAATCACAGCAAAAAGTAAAGCAATCCACAGCAATATATTGTCAAACACATGACACATGATTGTGAAATTGTGAAATTTTTTTTCAGAAATCACATAATAGCCTAAAACATTTGATTTCTTCAAGTAAACTCTTAAATAGACAAATTCTTGTTTTTCTCTTTTTTATTTCATTACTTTAGCACTTATACTTCTCTTAATAATAATAATAATAAAACGGAGCAATGTTTTTTAATGATTTATGTTTTATGTTCTTAAGTATAAACATACGTATGTATACAAGTAAATTTGTACTTCTGGTTGTGAACATGTCAGTTCTCAAAATGTTGAGCAAAAGAGCCAGTAAATTTATATCCGAATGCCAGGAGTGAATGCGGATTGCTTTATCCATCAAATTGATGATTAATCATATTCTTTACATAACTGTATTATCAACTTTTTGATTGTACTTCAATAACCAAGTGTTGTCTTCAAATAACTGAAGCGAAAAATATTTAGGATGTAGAAATTATATGTTACTTGATGTGTGCATTTGGCATATGATAAGCAACAAACATATGCTAATTGTTTACACTTTCAAACCTTTGCTAAAGCATCCATGGCTCTTTTTTGCTCAAAAGGGTTTTTAATTTCGTTTTGGGATTTTGCCGTTTAAAGTGGATTAAATGGCTGTATCCCTTTTCAAATTATTGCCACCAAATATTATCTCTTTGTATAAGAAATTAAATAACGAAGAATCTACATGTAGCAACAGTGTTTGAAATAAAATATTTTCATCTCCAACACACGAGATTATTGCCATTTGGGAATGTAAGATTTTTATCTTTTAGTATCGAATATTTTCTGATTTTGCTATTGAATTGAATTTTATATGGCCTAAATGCAAAAAATGTGATATTTAATAAAGTTTATAATAAAAACAGGAAAAGAAAATTTAACATTGATATGATGAATAAGAAAAGAGTGAAAAAATAGAAAAATGTATGCTAACATTTAACACTACATCGGGAATTTTAAACATATCCTGCTGTTAAGCTTTTAAAAAGTGTGTGGTTGTGTTGTTGAATTGTATGTGGTGCAAATGCAAAGAAAACTAGGCTTAATAATAATGCTAAAAGAAAAAAAAATGTTAGTAGAAGTGAGTGCAAGAGCAGACTGGTAGACTGCTAGGTCAGAGTGTAAAAAACCCTGATAAACTCTTGCTTGAGTCACCAGCAGCTGAGCGGCAAAGTTGCTGAACACTGGTCATTCATTTCGGGGTTTTTCCCAAATGTATGTAAGCCAAATTTCTTTAAAGTGTCCTCCACGAAGGCATCCCTTCTCTTAGGCAGATAGCCCTTGAGTGCTTTGCCATGATTAAAAAGCGCGCTTGTGTATGCCATGAAATTCGAGGCAGCCCAGCAAGAAACTCGTGGAGACCGCCACCCAATCAAATCTTCTCAAGTCCAAGAACCAGTAAATCAAGTGACTGCTCGTCAAGACGAATTAACCAGACAAGTCAATGCCTTGAGACGGAATAGGAGTGACAAGAAACCAACCGTTAAGTGCTGGAGCTGTGGTGCTGAAGGCCACATACGACGGAACTGCAGAACACCCCAGGGCACGGAAGTTAAGACCTCTCTCTGGAAGAAGCAGGGAATCTAATTAGTTTCCGTCTTGCGGGGCGTAGGTTACCAGACAATTAGAGGCCCTATTTTAAAACACTTCAGATTCTGCAATGAGTGGCGGCAATGATGGGCCCTTCATCATGGGACATATCAATGAAGTTCCCTGCAATATCAATATGACTAATGATGGTAACGTTGACAGGAGCCAACGTTACTATCATCCGAAATGATTTGGCTCAACAACTGGAACGTAAACTTATCTGGACGCCGCCCTGCGTTACCTTCCAGACTCTGTTCGGCGAGAAAATTAGGATTTTTGAAGTAGGAAACACGAAAAATGAGCAATGACCTCGCTGGGTCTCGAACCTGGAACTCTCCAATACGCGCCGAGTATGCTAACCGTTGCATCACGAAGGCGTGCAGAAAGGAGGGAGAAAATGCGCTGCAATTGGATGTGGCCTGTTATGACCATAAGACCAACTTGTTGATTAGGTGGGTCGGGCTGCGCCTTCTTCTGGTACACTTCCCCATTTAAAGGGGACTGGGGATTAGAGGACCCAGTCGCCAAATCCTGTGATGAAGAATCATCATCCATCACCTTTTCTTAGTTCGGGCGCCAATACAGAACAATAGGTTATTTTGAAGCAGGAGATATGAAAAATGACCAATGCTCTCACCCGGACTCGAACCTGGATCTCTCGAATACGCGCCGAATATGCTAACTGTTGCACCACATGCTAAAAGAAGGGAGAAAATTTGATATACATTCTTTAATTTACGTTTAAAATTAAAACCTTACTTAATTAATCTGAGCTATTTAAAAGCAACGAGCATGAAGTTTTCGTTTATCTTTAATACTATCAATAATGAAAGTTACTATATATCTAACTCACAGGAATAAATATATTTAACTAACATTTTTATAAACGTCATTACTTTAAATAACAAAAAATATTTCTGACACGCTTTTGTAGAATTTCTTGACGAATAATCACGTCATTCAGCTATATTAAATTTCCTGTCCACTTCAGATTTCATTATTATTATTCAAGAAAGGTATCAAATTAATAAGGCCTTAAATAATTTATAGGAAATCTAATTCTTATCCTATAAAATTACTTAATTTATAATACTGTTACGAAAACCCCAGCTGTGGGACGATAGCTTCCCCGCAAAGCGGGTTTAGAGTTGCCAGAAAATGGCAGAGACAGGGTTGCCAGATTTGGTGCGAAATCGCCCATTTGGGGACAAAACTGGTTCCAATATGCCATAGACGGAGCAAGAACATTCTAGAACGAATTCTTACCGGTTTTAACCGCTGAATTTTCTTGAAGGCACGTCAGAAAGTATATAAACCCTGCCTGTATGCAAAGTAGCAGTGTGTCTTGAGTTATCATAGTGAGTATTTTGAGTACGTTGAATTCAGTAGTAGCGTCTTGAGCTCCGAGAACAGCCGACTGAGTCGGGAACTGTTCTTTAGAGCCTTGTCGTAAAGCTGGCTTTCACCGTAATAGTTTGATAGTCTGAAGTCTGTGTTGCTAATTGTTTCAGCGTGTTTAACGTAGTTTTTCGACGACTGTAAACGTGTTTTTGGAACTCTCCTGTGTAGGACTGACAAATAAATTGTTCTTTGATTCTTCATCAAGTGTTGTCATCAATCACTCCAAATCCACGAATCCGTAGAACGCAACAATGCACTAAACATTTCCTCTATTATTATAATTTTTTAAATTAAATCTAGTCAGCTTACTAGTCATTGTATCACTTCTATTTTTATTTTTTGTTTATTTATTTATTTATTTATTTTGTTTGGTAATGATATATTCCTATTTTTCTTTCTCTGTTTTACTTACTTTGGCTACTATTTTGCTCCGAAGTAAAACTTAGTAGTAATACCTCAACCCTTTGGTAGATGCCTGTGTTCTTCGGACAGTGTCAAAAACCCCTGTGGTGTCTGGAGAATGGAAGAAATTTTTTCGTGCAGTTTGCTGTATGAGGTCATGAAATTAAACGTGAAGATGGATCATTTTTACCTTTCTTTCACGCAGTCGGGTTAAACGTGACAAATATATTCAGAATAACAAAAGAAAATTTGCTACTTTTTTGAACATGTTAGTAATACTAAGATAAATTTATAACAATTGATTTAATTTATAATAATGAAATTTTAGATATTTCACTTTCTTATTTTCCTCGTTTTCTTAAACGCAAGTTACGTCAAATCCAGAAGAATGAAAATAATTTGAATTATGTGAGCAAGAGATTTAATTATGATGCTTAAATGATGGCTGGTGAAGATTACTTTCTGTATCAGCGGTAATAGTCGAATGTGATCTATGGTATTCAAAATATTTCCAGTTATCTATCTAGTCTAGAAACTGGATAGAGATCTGATTTAAGACAGTAGTTTTTTATGCTGCATAAGTGTTTTATATGCTATCACTGCCATGACGCAATTTTAATTTCTGAATATGCAATTAAAGGCTAAGTAAATTTATTTGCTGTTATTTCAATCGTTAAATTTTTTTAGCATCTGTATTCACCACTACATTGACTATAGCTTAAATTAGGAGCTACGTTGAAAATAATTTGGCTTAAGAGCTTTAATAGAAAACTACAAACCTAGCATTAAAAGTGCTTATAAGCCTCGAACATCAATTTTTTTATGTCCGTAATACTTTTAAGTATTAGAACCCAACGTTATCGCCATGTATTAATTTCAAAGGAATAATTTAGCATTTAAGTATTTCTATAGTTTTCTGGGTTGCTTGGGAGGTTTGGCGATTGGATTTTATATTTCATTTATTTCCTGTCTTTACAAACAAAAGCTTATTGTCAGAAGTTACTCGATTAACTTTGCAGATGCTAATTCAAAATATTTTCTTCCACATGGTTTTGATAGACTTAATATTAACAAATGAAAAAATATATATATTCGTATTATCTGAAGATATGAATACAATATTTGAAACATTAAAACATTCGTCTTAAAGGAACGTAAGCAAAAAAATCAACTTCGTAACTATTGGAAAAGGTAAGTTTTCTATAATATCTCGCCTGGTCTATATTTAACAATTTTAAAATTTAGCATTAATAACATTAAAATAATCTAAATGTATGATGTTTCGTTTTGCGCTACAGTCGTTTACTGAATTCGGTAATTGTAGTAAATAACTGTTTGCTACAGTTATTTACTAAATTCAGTTTTGCAAAATAACACTTTAAATAAATTTCTTTTTTCGTAGAACATTTTCTCATGCCATGTAAAAGAACGATAGCATTAATTGATTTAAAATATAGAATTCAAGTTTGCGAAATTAATTGCATATTTTGTAGTCACTTTGAAATGAAATATGAAATATTAAAAGTGATTTTCAGCCTTTAACTGTAACGTAGTTTTTTAATAGAATTTTTTTTCCATTTACTGGAGCATTTAAATTTTCCAGTTACATATATATTCCATTTTGCCGTACATATCTAAAAGGCGGATATGTAATAATTTGATATAAAAATGTCATTTTCACTTTTAATCATAACATACAGAACATTTTTGCATAGATCTATATAAAAAATAAGAGATTAAAATATGTACGTTTTACGAAAAATGCAGTAAAAACGTAAATGAAGATTTATGCAATTTTTTTACTAAAAATGTGCATTTATACATGGTAAAGAGGAGAGGACATTGAACTAAATTTTTACCAAAATCATTCGCATTTGCAAAGAAAAAATAGAGAAGATTTAGATAAATTACTATCAAATACATACGTTTTCTTACCGTAAAATACGTAGAATATCTACTGAAATTTCTATGAAATACATACATTTATATACAGTAAAAAATCGGGAAGATTTACGTAAATTTTTACTAAACATATACGAATTTATGAAATTTGTGAAGCAAAAAATTGGAGAAATTTACATATACCTGATAAATATACGTACATTTTTACCAAAAATATGCATAAATCCCTGAAATTTACGTATATTATGCGTAAAAGTCACGAATGAACCTCAATCTTTCGCATAAATATACCTAAATTTTACGTAAAACTTACATATATTATCACATAAAAATATACGTAAATATTTACTATATTTTCCTGGACACTTTTTATGATATTTTTACGTTCAGCTTGAACGTTTTTATACGACGGGACATTCGTAAACTTCCCGTATTTTTCTCGTGCAATTTACGAATGCATGCTGCCTGGGAATATAGGTAATTAGATAATGTTGTAGAGACATTAGGTATTTTTTGAAACAGGAGAAATGAAAAATGAGCAACGCCTTCGCCGGGAATCGAATCACGGACCTCTGGAATACACGCCCAGCGTGCAGAACACCACACCACGAAGGCATGCCAAGATGTCAGGAGAAATATCTTATATACTCCCCCTTTTAAAGGGCGACTGGGGTTTTTAGGGGATCCAATCGCCAAATCCTGGGTGATTAGAATCATCAACCACAACCATTTTTAGCTCGGGCGCCATTGTAGAGACATTAGGTATTTTGGAATCAGGAAAGATGAAAAATTAGCAACCGCCTCCGCTGGGAATCGAACCACGGACCTCTGGAATACGCGCAAAGCGTGCAGACCACCACACCAAGAAGGGACGCCAAGAAGACGGCAGAAATATCTTATAATGTTTTATGGCTATATATATAAATCAAGGAATATTTTCTAACTTACCTTGAACTTTTCCATTTAAAATGCTGAAAAAACAGATTAAGCACAAAAAGTATCCGAACTGCATAACGTCTAGAAAAAAGAAGTTTTGCTCTTTATGAACGTAAAAAATCTCGCGAACCTTTAAATAGCTCCATTTGGTGCCTTGAAAAGAATGAAGGATTACAGCTGAGCATACAGACGGCTGCCTATTTAATACACATATAATGAAGCGAAGTGAACTAGGGAATGTAATGAGTATTTGATCTACCGCATCTGGAAACATGAAACTACAGTGATAAATATTTCATCGTTTTTATAGAAAAGCACAAATGCATGTAAAGACATAAAAAAGAATCTGTGCCGAATAAATTACGTCCAAGAAGTCGAGTAAAATCAGACCCATTAAAAGTGTAGACTGACTATTATAAAGAATCATACTGTTTATATAAAAAAAAGGGTATTCCGACAAAAAAGGGAGATTTAATATGCCGAATATTTTTTTGGTAATATGCTGATTTTTTTTTATTTTTTTATTTTTTATTTATTTATTTATTTTAGAAAATGGACAACATTTTCACATACTTACTAAATATTCCGATTCAAGAATCAAACATAATGTTTGAAGTACGCTTAACATAACTTGCTCTGCAGCACCGCAGCCTTTAAATGAAATTCGTAATTACTTTTTCATATATCTACGTATTAATTTTGTTAGTGACACCCTGAATTTCCTCTTAAGTTCTTTCGTTCTAATTTAATTCTAATAATTTCGTTCGTTCTAATAATTTCGTTCTAATACACATTAACAAATCCGTATAGGATTCTAAGTTTCGGACTTTTTGGAGACTTGCAATAACACTATTATTCCCAATGGCGATATTTTCGACAGACAAGATGGGTCGAGAGTGTGGTGATTTAATGTCTTCTGTAAAATCTATATCTTCAATATCAATATCCGAAATATTGTTTCATTAGGTGCACTTTTACCTAATGAAAATCCAATCATCGTTATGTCCAATCATTTTGTTGAATCATTAGGCTATTTGGAAGCAGGAAAGGGGAAAAATTTAGAAAGTCATCCTGAAAACTGAAGGCTTTGGTTTCATGGAGGCCCGCATGGCTTCCAAAATAAATCCGAATCCTTCCATTGGATTCGTGGACGTCTGAGAGACCTGAAAGGTTGGAGGGGTCAACGTAAATTTTCCGGATTCTAACGGCATGGTCCGTTGCAAACTTTTCGGATGCCAATTCTCCACTTTGTAAAGGCTAAGTTGCTATTGAACGTGAAGAATCTTAAGAACTGATAAGCGAATAATTGCTTGAGTTCGTGACAAGAAACAACAAGATGGAAGGGTAAATAACACTTTATTACTCAAATAAGATTAACAGAACTCCGTCTTGGAGTGCACAATAAAAGCCGACACTTGGGCTTAAGAGGCTAAGAAGTAAACTAAAACTAATCTAAAGTAACTGAGATATAGCCGAAGCTATCAAGATTCTAACCGAGTTGACCCCTTAACGCTAATTGACTGCGAAGCTATCAAGGGCCTAAGTACGGCTGAGCGTAATAATAGCTTACGAGGGAGAAGCTTAAAAAGGCGGACGCGTGCAGACAGAATACCTGGTAACTCTCTCGCTAAGACCGAAGAACTTCGCGGTTTAAATACCGCTCCTCCTCATTATATATTCAGACGTGATTCTAAAACTACGTTCTGGCCGGAAGTAAGTTGAAGTTAAGAATTTGACAGGAAAGAAGTTTAACTCAAAATTAAACTGTTAATAAAATTAACATAATCATTAAAATCTAGGTCTTCAATATCAATATCCGAAATATTGTTTCATTATATGTACTTTTACTTAATCCAATGGTCCTTACGTCCAATCATCGCACCAAGCTTCCTATGAGTCTACATAATACTCTAAATTCTTGTAATAAGTTTTCTCAATAAAAACTTAAAATTAGTAACACAACAATGTTAATGCTTTAAAATTGCTGTGTTACTAATTTTAAGTTTGATTACAATTAACTTGAGTTTAATGTAGATTTACTCAAGATCTCAGAGATCTTGTGTAAATCTACGCCAAACTCAAGTTTGTTACGTTACTAATTTTATGTTTCACTTGGCGTATTTCTAATATGTTTTCATTTAATCAAAACTTTTTGTTCCTCTGCATAAGCTCCATGTTGACTAAGCTACAACGAGGTTGTGAAATGAAATGAGAGTAATAAAATTCCAGTTACTGTTAACAGATGAAGGTCAGATCAAATCCACTAGGTCAAACCAAATTCGACATTCTAAAGTCGGAATAATTACTTGCTTTTAAGTACGTAAAAATATTTTCCAGTTTGCAAAATTAAAGTATTTTGGGGCATATTAAATCCGGCGCTTATATTGAAACTATATTTACACTGAAGAAGCATTTTTTTTAAATGTAGTTCGCCGAAATGGAGTAAAAACTCCTGAACATTATTGAAAAGTGAGTCAATAGGAATTTATATTGAACCAATGTAGATCTTCATAAAACAAATGAAATATTTTAAAGAAATTTCAGATCTTTCATTTCCAACTTAAAGCATGATTTTTTTATGTACCGTTTTGAAACTTCTATAACTTTCTCCCTATGTGGAAAGTTTCTATCAATATCCGGTTAAATTTTGTGATATATTTAAATTACACAATTTTCCCTTTCCAAGTATTTTTTATTAAAAAACATACAGACTCCCCGTGCATCAAATATGTACAACACGGGGCTTACAGAAGTAATTAAGATACAATAACGCGCCGAGCAAATATTAATTTAGAAGTCAAACAACAAAAATCAGCGTTATATTTTCAAAGTTTTACATGACTGTCCTGCGTTAAATAAAACATTAAAAGATACATGCATAAATAAAACGAACAAAAGCAGAGAACCAGTAGTGTGAATTTCACGAAAACAAATAAGTTCACTGGCCAAGTCACTCCGAACATTTTCAAATCATTCTGCAAGCACAATCTAGGGCTATCAAATGTAGGTATGAGAAAAGCAAATGTTCCACATCCTGAGGTACTCTTTTTGAACATTCATATAAATTGTTTGATCTTAGATTAAAACGAAACAGGTAACTTGCAAATTTACCGTAACCAGGTAAAAACTGAGAAACTTTAGAATTTATAGAGAGGAAAGACTCGGAATGCAGTTTATATGAAATAGAAGGAAAGAACTTTTTGGTGATTTCAGCATTACAAGATGATTACTCATTCCACTTAGCTAAAAGATTCTTATAATGAAAAGACTTCCAGTAGCTGTTTGGAATGCTAATCTTGATATCAATGAGTAAATTTAATGCATCTTTAGCTAAGAAATCAGCTCTTGCATTTCCATGGAATCCATGATGAGCACGCACATAAGCAAAATGGGTATCAGTTCTCTATTTTTCTCAGCGAACTGACAGTTAATAGAATTTCGATTACTCGATTTTGATTATTTCGAAATTGAGGAGTTCAGAAAAGATTACAAAAATTTGAATAATTGGTTATTTGAACAAAGGAGGCCCTAGAAAGCTTCCGCTCCAATTTGAAATTCCGAGAAAGAGCAGCCCTTGGTTTATTCAAAAATCTAACATCAACCTTGACGTTTGTTCTGAATGTCTCCTTCCACAGATTAAATATCCTTGCTTTCTTCTGGCATCGAACCCGGGTCCTTGGGTTCGATGCCTTTAAAACCTTTAAAAATTTGGGGTTTTTCACATTTACAATCTTCTTATCCACAGTTTAGAAACTGCGTTCGTAAAATTCTCTATTTCTCTTTGAGATCCTTCGTAAGTGGATACAAGCATTCTCCATTTTTGACACACATTAATTATGAAAAGCAGTTTTAGCTTTTAGAGTCAATACACGTTTGTAATATTTAGAATTGGTGATAATGATAATTGATTTTAAATTTTGGATGGTGATATAAGAGACTGAGATGGAAGAGGAAGAGAAAGAAGACAATCTATTAATAAGTTAACCGATGTATTGAATTCATTAGATATGCATGTCACTAATTTCTAACGTTTTTCTGTATCTGCCTTGAGAATGTCTGTCGAGGGTTGGAAAATCATGAGCAAGTTTTTAAACAAATATTTAAACAGTCTCTTGATTTTACAAATACTGCAGTCATACATCTTTACAAGAATCACACAAAGATCTTTCACGCAAGTTGGCCCAAGTTCCATATACTTCATTCTTATGTTTCCAAGAGATTGAAACTTATAAGAAGTAGTTTAAAATTCCATAAACTGACAAGTCTATACCTGCAACTTCCAACGTATACACATATTAGCGGAACTATTACATATTTGTATAATTTTGCCGGCTCCATGATAAATAAAACTTAAAGCACATGGCAATAAGAAGTTCCTGGCTTAGTAGTCTCGCAAGAAGAAAACAGAGGCAGGGAGGAATGGAGGGTGACCAAAAGGCCAAAGGTCAGAGAAGCAATCTGAGAAATATAAAATCTAGAATCTGATTGGAACAGTATCTGCAAAGATACTCAAAAAGCTAAAGTATACCACTGTCCTTTATATACCACTGTCCACTATATGCTTTTATACTGTATACCACTGTCCCCCCCGGGGGTTGACTCAGGAGAATTTCTGGAAAGTACTGGCTGAGATATGTACTTAGTCTCAACCACGGGTATATAATTTGTCTTTACAGGACTAGAGCCCGAGTTTATTCTCAGGTTGGTTCAGGCTTGGCAGGGACCGTATTGGTACTGTCGTGTCTGTTCCTCTGGCTGTGGTGGAGCTAAATTGTAGATCTCCGACCTTTTTAACGATGGTTTGGCCTCCAGAGTCCCAGTGGCGGGGACTGACGAAGTAAGGCTAGGCACCTATACAATAATTCGATGCCGATGGAGCGGTGCCCAGAGGCAAAGATGACCCGGCGAACATTTTTGTTTTACGTTTCTAAAGCGTTTGATGCTTGTCCGAGGCTACATATAAAACCGGGTTGGGACTGTGGGTCTGCGCCGCCGTTGAGTGGGTCTCTGAAGCTTGGATACATTAACCCCGTATGGCAGACCCGTGGTCATCCTTCATGTCGGGGAATCCTCGCTTTGGCGCTCTGTATACCACTGTGCATATGGTAGAAAAAACCTCTGTATGTTTTGCACGCTCATTACTTTATATGTTTTGAGA